AAAATCTGCATTACTCTCGGGCCTATGCTCCACAAATCACCCTCAGAGCCCTGAAGTAGGAACAAAGCAGCTAGTGAGTGACAGATGGCATGTTTTACCGTAAAATCCGAGTGTAAATACTACAAAAATCGATTTGTCCGGCCCCTCCGGGGCCATACTAGTACTCAACCCGTCCATCGTTCTCTGAGATATATCTCCTATAAATCAGCAACTGGAACCATGAGAAAATCTACAGCTAGTCCATGCATATTTTCTGAAGGCGATTCAAGCCCAAAACACTGTGTAATTCCTCAATTTGGGGCCCTCCGGGGCAAGGGACTTCTTATATCGCACATTCAAAGCAAACACCGCTCCCCCACAATTTCACGAAAGAGGTTTAGCATTGAATCTATAGTTTGCACGCTTTCCCCCCTCCACGCTGCCTTACAAGGTCTGAATTACTGTGGATATCTGTAAATGCGATGACACCCAGTCAGGCTAACTGCACAGAGGATATTTCATTAAAAATAATGCTGTAAATCTACTGCTGTGAACTGTCTAACTGCTGCTGAGCGCTAAACACACACTCAGCATTCACTGGTCCATAAAAACTCTGCATGGACATCAAGGTCTGTTGGTATGATTTGGGGTAATGGGTATCAAGCCTCATCTACCTTCATATATATGGTCTTAAGTATTACAGTATACACAGGTATTTTGCCTATTGTACACACGTACGGGAGCTCGTCCAGCACCTGTCATGGCAGGCACAAATCGAGTTCTCCTCAGGGAGAGCCACAGCCGCCTCTGGCACAGCCACTCGATAACTCGTTGAGTTTGGTAGGTTCCTCCCACGAAATGGCACAGCCACTCGATATTGATATCGAGCAACCATATGCGTAACCTCCCGGGGTCCTAGTCTAGCTGCGCGAGAGCACGCCGGAACTTGCCGGTTGGTCGAAAAGTGCGACGTATATTGCGGGTTTGGCATAACCCTCTCAAAGGAGGGGCACTATAGGTGTGGACTTTTATTATTTTATTAATCCTGTTTCCCTTCCTATTCTCGCAGGTGGGGTAGAACACACGGGAACGCTAGGTATGGTGCCAATAGGAACGATCTGGCCGCTATCGTATCATACTAGCATTACTATGAAGCCGGCATACAACTGCTGTGCCTCCCTGGCCCTGCCATGTTATTATCTATAGATGACCTCTACCCTACCCTCGCTTTCGGCGATGGATCCCAGCCAGGCTTCCAGTACGGGCCATCCCACCTCGAACCTCGCTCCCAGCTCATCAGAGTGATGCTCGCCGTCTAGCAGATCCAAGAAATCCTTCGGATACGGGGGAAATGTCGACTGCGACGTACTGTGAGACAGGGGACCTGGAGGGTTGGACGTGGAAGATGATAAATTGGCAAAGCGCTGCGGGTTCGAATAAAGCCGAGGTCGAGTACGTGGCTGCGATTGAGAAAGCACGTTCGTTGGAGAAGCGGAAGAGCTCTTAATAGCTATCGGTGCTTGAATCGGGGGTATTGACGAAGAACGTTTGAGACCTGTAGCGCCCGAGACCGATACGATAGAAAACGAGCTATTCGGCCTTGTTGAGCTGGCAGCGGGGGCAATCACACTGGTGCCTGTCTTTGAGTCGGGTTCAACGTTGATGCCAGGACCGCGCGGGGCCGTAGGTCCTGTTCCCAGAGTTGCACCGGACAATGCTAAAGTCGCGTTCCAGAAAGCTGATCCAGTGATGCCTCTCCCAAGCCTGGGTCTGGCCACATCTGTTCTATCTCCATGCTGCCGTTCTCTGCTTCGCTCCCTACCGTTACTCTTGCTGCGGCCGAGTAGCAGGCTCTGAGCCTGGCTCTTAAGCTTCTCTAGCGACTTCTCCGCCTCGCTCAGTTCTTTCTCCTTTTCCTGTTGGCGTAACAGGATGAGAGCCGGTGACCGAACGCGCCGGGATTCCCTGCTGGGACTGTCTGTCAGGTCCACAACCGACGTCGAGCCCGAGTCGGTCAATGGGCTTATTGGGCTGTTTCGAGCACTCACAGCCAGCTCTGTGTTGACGCTAGCAAGTGTGGGTGGAGCCTTCGGAACTTTACCCCTATCATCCTCGGGTTGACTACGGACAGGTGTACGCGGCGGAGGGGTGTTCCACGCAGAGGCGCTCGTCGCGTTTCTCCCTCGTTTGCGGCCCAGTGAAGAGGATGACACGTTGCGATTGTGGCGTGTGCCATTACTGGTCTGACCTTGGGGAGGGGATGACTTGATTAGAATTGGATAGCGATGGATACGCCGCAGAAAACCCTAATGAAGTCAGCAATAAGTACACCAGGATAACAATCAAGATGAGATGGTCACCATTTACCTTGATAACCCCGAAGCTCACGAATCGTCTCATGTCAACGCCAAGTGAGATCACATCGTGATCTTCAGCCCATTCATAGACAGACTTTCCCGGTTTGAGACGCGAATACAGATGTAAGAGCTTGGGAAAATCTGGGATGCGCCTGCCTATCCATGCGAGCCTGTCAGTGAACGATAACCTCAAATATGACAAGATCTGACCTGGCTTTGTCACGTATAAGCCGCATTCGTCCCGTACATGCTGTTCGTCCGCGAGCCACTGTATGCTCTTCCGAAGTGTATACATATTAGAATATTGGAAGATGTCGATTGTCATGATTACTTGGTAATATCTGCACGCCATAGGTCAGTCACATTAGCTAGAAACCTCGGAGGATACCCGGGGCATACAGTAGATGAGAGACAGCTTCACGAGTTAGATCCAAATCGCAGTCGGCAAGGTAAGCGATGCGAGACACATGGTTTACTCCGTCGATATGCTTGATGACTTTGACGATTGTAAGATCCCAGTTGGATTCAACCCTCTTTGCGAGGTTTATCAAGGCCAACGGTACGTCCCAGTCTCTAACCGGGGGCGGGTTAGGGTAGAAGGGGAATATCTTAAGCTCCAAAGAGTTGAAAGCGTCGATAGGTATCGATGTCTCAGAATACGAGTTTAGATCCTCGTACAGTTGTTCCAGGATGGCAAGCATGGCCATAGGAGATGAAGGATTTGACAAAAAGGCCGACTCTTCCTAGGAGAATATACAACGTTCAATATTGAAGATTTCTTGCTGCAGGCAGCGCACCTCACAAGCCGTGAAAACTCGAGCTATCTTCCGGACGATGGGCTCGTAACAGCTTAGGTCGGCTTGTCTCTCGAATACAAAGCATAGGTTATACCTGAAGTAGTTCCTTTCATATTTCCCAAGCAGTTCGACCGGAAAACCAATGATTCTGTGGTCTTTGGTAGCACACGTGACTAACCTCCCGCATAACGCGCTTGGAGGTATCACGAACTTCGATACATCGTCGAAGTGGAAGAGATATTTGGCGATGGCTCCAGAGGAGAAAGATCCCTTGCTCGGCGAGTGGATGGAAAAGGACGGGCGATGAGGGGAAGCGACGTGTACTGAGAGGGAAGAGGCCCTTGAGGTTGGCTTGGATCGAGGATTGGGATCCAAATCCGGAATGGATGACAATGAGACTACTGACGACGACGGAGGGATGCCTTGATTAGATACAGCTATTAGAGCCTCAGGTACTTGGAACACGATCTTTGGGCCCTGACGGACATCGAACGTGGCGTAGAAGACGGACTGGATTCGAGGTAAGAACGAATCGCCGTTGGAGGCCATAATGGTAATGACTCTGTGATCTTGACAGTATCAACTAAGCATTCGGATTCTAGTGAGTACCGGCTTCAGACTCCAGCTCACCTTCCACCGGTGGGGTCGAATAGACTCAAGTCAATTTGGGACATACGTGGATACAACAGGTCTACAGCTTTTCTCGTCGCCGGGCATAAACAAGGCCTCTTGCTCTGAAGAGGCGAGGTGCTGAAGACTCCCCGGAGGGAGGATGAACAGGGGATTGAACCTAGTAAACATAGGTGGCCACTGGCAAGGCTAGGGTTTCGCGAGCCGGCGGCATCGCTCGACGCGCCACGGACGCGCTAATTTCAAGCGCGTCTTGCTTCAGCCACACCATGTCTTGTCCCATCCCTGCTGGATTCCATGCTTTGCCGCTGCCGATCGTGCAGTTGTCCCTTGCTGCAGTCCTGAAATGTGGCCAGTCGTTTCGCTGGTCTGTGTTTCCTCTGTCTCCTACACCCCTACCACTCTCGTACCCTTCCCATGAATATCGGTTCTGCCTCAAGGACCGTGTGGTCTGTCTCAGACAGTCCCCCGACACCTTGTACTATCGCACCATCCTTCCACCTCAAAAGGATGGGAACGACGATTCAAGTAGCGAAGAGAAAGCACAACAGGAGACTTTGGCCTGGATTCGGGACTACTTCCAGTTGGACGTGGATTTAGTCGCGCTGTATAACAGCTGGGCAGACAGGGACCCTGTTTTCCGGAAGTTCCGGGACCGATTTGAGGGTATACGGATGCTGAGACAGGATCCCTGGGAGAACCTTATTTCGTATGTCGTCTGTATCCTCTACGTTAGCAGCCGTATTTATGATTTGTCTTATCTTGCTGCTGCGTAGATTCATATGCTCGTCAAACAATAATATAGTGCGGATAACCAAGATGATCACGTCCTTATGCGATCGTTTCTCTCCCCGTCTTCTAAGCTTGCCTCCTCCCGACCCGTACCCCGCCTCCGTCAGCCCCCTTTCCCCTCCAGCAACTCCATCGCGCACACCTTCCCCGCCTTTCTCTTCCGATGTGCTGACTGCGCCAAATGGTGATGACCTCCGTGCATACCACCCCTTCCCTTCTCCTTCTGCACTTGCCTCATCCTCGGTGGCGGCGACATTACGCACTTTGGGCTTCGGATACCGTGCCGAATATGTGCAGAAGACCGCGCAGATGCTCGTTGGAGGACATTTCTTAGACAGTGGGAATAGCGCCACGCCGGATGAATGGCTGAGAACACTTCGTGATATGCCAACTACTGAAGCAAGGGACGCCTTGTTACGCTTCATGGGTGTTGGCCGGAAGGTCGCTGATTGTGTGCTGCTCATGAGCTTAGACAAGGTGCGTGCCTGACTTCTACTCATTCGCATTTGCGAAATCACGGCTTACGATGCGCTTTAGAATGAGGTTGTACCTGTGGACACTCATGTGCACCACATTGCGATGAAGCATTATGGCGTCGGATCGTCCAAGGGTAAATCAAGCGGGAAGATACCCATAACACCGAAGATTTACGATGAAGTAAATGCGAAGCTCGCTCAGGTCTGGGGTGACTACGCGGGATGGGCTCATTCTGTAGGTGCACCCTCTACCCATCATCACCATTCAATTGCCCATAATTTCCTTTCAGGTTCTGTTCACAGCCGACTTAAAATCGTTCTCCACCTACGGACTCGAGGCGCCTCTCACATCCGCGTCTGCTCCTTCCGCAGCGCTTCTCGGTCTCCCGACACTTCCTTTGACACCTTCTCCGTCCCAGGAGAAAGCCAGTCGAAAGTGTAGCAGAAGAGCCGCAATCCAGACTGCTCGGGCTCAGGATGCGGTCGCCCGTGCTACTACTGATGACGAAGTTGCGAATGAGCAGGCACCGTATGACCTCAGTTGCAGCCTCGCAGAAAGGGTAAAGAAGAGGCGTCGAACTGCTGCCCCGGACATACGATAGCCATCCTTGCCTCGTCACAGTTCTCTCTGCGCTGTTGATATCATTGTGATCGTGGTTTATACTTGTGAATTATTTGACCATGACTGCCAGTCCCCAGATGCTGCCGTCGATACTGGAATACTGTATGCGGCTCTGCGTATGACCACTGGCCCGGGGTATGATCGAGGTCGATATCGGTTCGGGTAGGTGCAGTTTCCTCGAGCAAATCGGTAGCGCCAGGGTTAGACGTATACAGCTGTCCGCCGGCCACTGAGGGCTGCCGTTGTGGTCAGACGGGATGGACAACCGGAAGTAATTCAGACGCGCTTGTCCGAGGACGCGTCGTACCTACCTAGCTTGCACACATCTATACACTATACACAGGGGATATATCAGCCTTCCTTCTCAATGTCCGCATCTCATTCAACCAGAGAAAAGGGCAAGTTGGAAGAGATCGTTGACACGACCATCGTGCAGGATGATCCGGGTGCCGAAGACGGTTCAGGCTCAGGCTCAGGCTCGGAGGAGGAGCCGTCGGTAGACGCATCTTCTCCTCAGGCGTCGTCGTCTGCGGGAACTTCGCAGAAGAAGAAAAAGAAGAAGAGGGCAAAGGTCAGCAAAGCCCTGAATGCTCTCAAGGGCCAGAAGCAGGTGCCTCAAGCGGTCGTAGATGAAGTTCTGGAGAAAGTGAAGGAGGAGCACGGGGATGTAGAAGGTGTGGATGAGCAGACGGTCAGGATGGCGCTGGATCATTTGAAGATTATGGACTACGCGAAGGGGAAGACAGGGATTGCTGGGAAGGGTAAGAAGGATGCTGGGGACCACAAGGTGAGAGTCACTTGTCCCTCCTCTCATACCGGCGCTCACGACTTGTTTCTCAAGTTCTGGTCCACCCAACCAGTACCACAGCTTGGTGACGAGGTTCCCGCCGAAGATGGGCCCATCGAGCCTTCCAGGCCTGGAGAGGAAGTGCGTCAAGAACCATACCCACTGCCGAAGGAATTCCAATGGTCTATCGTTGACCTTAATGATCCCAATCAAGTCAGTTCCCTGGAATTCGTTTGTCTCATACGCTCATGTCTGTATCAGCTCAAAGAGGTATACGAATTGCTATCTCTGAACTACGTCGAGGACAAGGATGCTACCTTCCGTTTCCAATACACGGCCGAGTTTCTGCAATGGTACAGTTCGACGCACGTATCGGATTGCCATGCGCTGATAGTAGGGACACACAGGGCACTCCAGCCACCTGGCTACCACAAGGAATGGCATGTAGGCGTACGTGTTGCATCCAACAAGAAACTTGTTGGCTTTATATCCGGTGTCCCCATCACATTGCGGATACGATCCAAGTATGCTGCGTTTTTTCCATATCTTCCTTTTCTTACATCTTGGCTCCTGCAGCATCGTCAAGGCTAGCGAGATTAACTATCTCTGTGTGCACAAGAAACTGCGATCTAAGCGGCTAACGCCGGTCTTGATTAAGGAGGTGACGAGACAATGCCATCTCAAGGGGATCTTCCAAGCCATATACACGGTTGGCATGCTGCTGCCCACACCGGTGTCCACATGCCGGTCAGTCTACCGCAGCTTCATGCCGTACAATCCCTGATCCTCCGCGTAGGTATTACCATCGTTCACTCAACATCCCGAAACTAGTCGACACGAAGTTCACGTATGTGCCGCGTAATCAGACCCTAGCTCGAATGATCCGTCTCCAGAAAGTGCCCTCGTCTACGCATCTCGCTCTTCGAGAGATGACGGAAAGTGACATCGAGCAGGTGGCGGATCTGTACGACAGATATATGAAGCGGTTCGACATGGTCCCCCTGATGACTGTGGAAGAGATAAGACACCAGTTCTTGAGTGGACTGGGTCGGGGCGATATGGTGAAGGGCAGGAGGGAAGGACAGGTTATCTGGAGTTATGTGGTCGAGGTATGTGCCCTTGACCACCCCTGAATTAGCGTGATCTGAAATTTGGGGTGACGCTGCGCAGGCTCCTTCCACTCGCCGTATAACGGATTTTTTCACGTTCTATTCACTACCTTCAACGATCATCGACAATCCCAAGCATAACCTTCTCGAAGCAGCATACCTCTTCTACTATGCTTCAGAGACAGCCTTTGCTAGTGACAGCGAGGAGGACGTTGAACGCGATCTCAAAAAGCGGTTGACCGACCTCATCGGTGATGCATTGGTCATCGCGAATGAAGCGAGCTTCGACGTGTTCAACGTTCTGACCTTGATGGATAACGTCGCATTCCTGAACGATCTGAAGGTTCGTCCCTGTAAAGTGCCTTGACCTACTAGCTTTCTTAACGCGACTCTCCAGTTCGGCGCGGGTGACGGTATGCTCAACTTCTACCTCTACAACTGGAGAACGGCGCCCTTGGCAGGCGTGAAAGCCATTGGAGGGCGGGAGGCTGGAAGGGGCGTAGGCGTAGTTATGCTTTGATTTACATACCGCGGTTTAGCAGGCGTAAGAGCTAGCTGCACACAATGAGGAGATGATCAATAGACAAGCACATATTGGATTGCGTACAGTTGCCTGCTACGCTGCGGATCTACGAGACTATGATACATCTAACCTACATGTCCTCGAGCTTCTTGACTGTTGATTGCCAAGGAAGATGATGCTAGTCGCTGTCTATGATAATCACGTCGTCGTCATCGTCAACCCCGAAGTCTGGTGTTAGACTTCGCTCCCGATGCTTCTGCTTCGCATTACCCCTTTGTGGCGGTCTAGGGACTCGAGCACCGCCAGCACCTAATGCTGCAGGCGTTGGGGAAGCCAAAGTCTGTCCCTTGCCCCATTCCTTCACGGGCCCTTGCGAACTTGTCGATTCTTGCTCTTTCCCCTTCCCTTTACTGGCCTGCGACTGGGAAGATCGGCCGATTAAGGTGTTGCCGGCACCAGTGAAGGCCGTCGATTGCTAAGACCGTCCTTTAATGCGGTTCCGAGGGTTGTACAAAGATCCCCTTACCTGGCCATTTGTACCAGATGCATTCTCGGGTGGCTGATACGGAGGAATGTTATAGCCAAAGAACAACTTTCCAAAGGGAAGATTCAGGGGAGCGGGTACCGGTGCTCCTGACTCTAATATGTCGGCGTTCACGATTCGGCGTTGCCTGTGGTAGGGTCTTCTGTCAGTGATAAATCATTGTTACTCGTGCTGGCATCTTACCCTGTCCGAATGATCTTACTTCCTTCCGATACTTCCTCAACTTTCCTGTGGCTTATTCCTTTTCCCTTCGTTTTGCGTCCACCCAACGTTTCACCTCTCCCCTTGAAGCTTTCCCAGTCTTCTCCCTTCTTCGTCAATGTCGAAGTGCCTGTACTTGTTTCGGCGAACGCGCCACCTAGAGAACTCGCTGGCCGCGATGAGCCGGGAGACGCAGAATTGAGATCGATCTTCAACTTGGAAGCCATGGTTGGCGGGGGCGCAGCCTTTGGTCTCTCTGGCTCCTTGTAGCCGACGGGTGTGGCGAAGTCGACTTCAAGATCTGTGTCGAGCACGCTGATACCGGCGTTTCCTGGTCGGGTTTCCATTATAAGGAAACCGAAGACAATGGAATTGTAGACAATTTCGATCATGTCCCCTTGTGTTAGACAGGTAAAGTTGCGTAAAGCCATCTCTAGACTATGTGCATCCATGAATACCTATTGCACGATTTAGAACATGTCACTTACACAGCCTTTGGGTCCGACACCTCCAAAAAATGTACACTCTGGGCTTGTATCTTGACGAATTTACCCTTCGGTAGCTCGGCACCCGTTATGCGCACCGGGTCTCCTTCGTTCAATCGGAGGGTCTTCATCATCCAGTATGGCAAATGTACGCATCCTTCCTCTGCGATGAACTCGAGAACACCTGCATGTGTGGACGCAGCGGGATTGGAGGGATTACGGAGCTGGAACATCCATGGCGATTCGAGATCGAGCTGGGTGAGTGTAGCAAGAGCAGAAGGGGGCATGATGACTGATTAAGCTAGCTTAGTCTTGTACAGGAGAAGGTCAGATGGGGAGAAACTCACTCTTTCCACCGTAGCTGACGTTCTCCCTCTGGCGGCCTGGAAGCATGGCCACACTGTAGGCTTTCAGGTACTCGTCGTACGACCGAGGCGGAGGACGTCCCATCCTGTTAACCAGGCCACCACCAAACCCTCTGCGAGAAGAGACGGTAAACACGTCCTCAGCAACACGTTTACAGATACAGACGATAGGACGCGCGTACTGTGCCAACTGAGCAAACAGTCCTCCTGCACCTCCGAGATGATCCTGAAAAAACATGGACTCAATACTATTCCACTGACGGCGTAAATGCGACGTACGATATCCATGGTAACAGGTGTAGTGTGTGAGTGAGAGGTGTACGCAAGCTGAGAGAAAGCTGGAAGTGCTCTGCAGGAATACGCAATGTATTCACGTGGCGCAATGGCTCGGTACGGACTGATGTCTAAATTTAGCGCCCAGGAATTGCCGCCGCGGCTGAATCTTTGGGACGCTATTGACCGCTGCGTACGACAGACTCTTACAATGGCGTCTGCAGCACTTTCAGCGACCTCGGGTCCTTCTGGAATGACCGCGTTCAATGACAAAGTGAGATAGCATCCCATTCTTTCACAGAGTTAAGCTACGAATTTGACGCGTTTCCCGTGCAGAACAAACCGATGGAGGTCAGATTGTCCAACCTGATTGCTGCCAAAGGTAGGTGAGGCTTATCTTGAATATTTTACTGAGTCTGATTATTGTACAGCCATCAGTGATGCGGTGCGGACATCCTTGGGTCCAAGAGGAATGGACAAGATGGTATGCGCAGCTCATCCTAGTTGCATCCGTGACTCTACAACTCTCGATACAGATTCAGACGGCAAAGGGGGAGGTTATCATCACCAATGATGGAGCTACGATTCTTCGGAGTATACAAGCCTTGCATCCTGCTGCCAAGATGGTGTGTCCTTTCCGCCGCTTTTCAAGTCACCCAGCTAACGTGTCGCTGTAGCTCGTTGATTTGTCTGCAGCTCAAGACATCGAGGCGGGAGATGGTACGACATCGGTTGTTGTACTTGCGGGCTCCTTGTTAGGTGCTGCAGAGAAGATGCTGCAAAAGGGCATTCACCCTACCATCATTGCCGATTCGTTCTTGAGAGCGTCTGCAAAAGCTGTGGAGTACCTTACGGAGATATCTACGCCCATAGACTTGAACGACAAGGCGAGCTTACTTCGGGCAGCGACAACCTCACTTAACTCTAAGGTCTGTCCCGTTCTGCATTCTCGCCTACCCTTGGCGTTCGCTGTTTATGGAACTATACTCCTCCTTTGGTATAGATTGTCTCCCAATACTCATCCACATTGGCACCTATTGCTGTGGCGGCTGTCACCAAACTTGTTACCCCCACCTCCTCCACAGTCGACCTCCGCGACATTAGGATAGTGAAGAAGGTCGGAGGCACCATTGAAGACACCCAATTAGTGGAGGGTGTTGTCCTAAATCAAAACGTCGTCGTCGCTGCTGGCGGACCAACAAGGATAGAAAAAGCCAAGATCGGTCTCGTCCAGTTCCAACTCAGTGCACCGAAACCCGATGTAAGTACCCCTCTGGTCCTTGCTACACCTAGTATACTAAACATGATTTAGATGGATAACACCGTGGTAATTAATGACTATCGCCAGATGGACAAGGTCCTCAAGGAGGGCCGTCAATATCTTCTCAACATCTGCAAAAAGATCAAGAAGGCAAATTGCAACGTCCTCCTCATCCAAAAATCCATCCTGCGAGACGCGGTTGACGACATCTCGTTGAACTTCCTGAAGAAGCTCAATATCCTCGTGGTCAAGGACATCGAGCGTGACGAGATAGAATTCCTGAGCAAGAGTCTGGGATGCAAACCTGTTGCGGACATCGAAGCTTTCACGGAGGACAAGCTGGGCTACGCGGATCTTGTCGAAGAGACAAGCGAGAGCGGTCCCAAGGTTGTCAAAATTACTGGCGTCAAGCATAAAGGCCGGACCGTGAGTATCTTGGCGATGGGTAGCAATTCGCTCGTGTTGGAAGAGTGCGAGCGTAGTCTGCATGACGCGCTTTGCGTTGTCAGATGCCTAGTAAAGAAGAGGTATGCTTCTAAGATACTGGTGTCGGTGTCAGTGTCAATGTTATCTAATACACGCTCATAGGGCTCTGATCAGCGGCGGTGGGGCACCTGAAATTCACGTTTCGCGTCTGTTATCGCAATACGCCCAGTCCCTGAAGGGCATGGAGGCGTACTGCTTCCAGGCATATGCAGATGCTTTGGAAGTCATTCCCACAACACTGGCTGAGAATGCTGGTTTGAACCCTATCGCCATCGTCACTGAACTCAGGAATCGGCACGCCCTGGGCGAACGCAATGCTGGTATCAATGTCCGCAAGGTACGTGGCCTTTAGACCGTCCTGCATGGCAAACGACGGTCCTGACGTTCCGATTCTAGGGATTAATATCCAACATCTTGGAGGAGGATGTCGTACAACCTTTACTAGTCTCGACGAGCGCAATCGAGTTATCAACCGAGACGGTTTGCCTGTTGCTGAAGATAGATGACTACGTTCAGGCTCGGTAGTCATAACAATAATGTAACTTTAGTGCCATCTACGCCATTATGATAAGCTCGACGATGATATGATAGGTCTAACATGTACCTCGATCCATCTCGATTACCGCTGCCCGTAACAAAGCAAATACTCCCGGATTAATCCCCCTGCCCTTTGGCGGCCCTATGCAGAGAATAGGCCAGGTGCGGTGTGCAAATCTATGTGTATTATTGCGAAGCAGCAGTGCGGTACTATAAAACATACTCTCATTGATACAGCACCTGAAATGCTGGCTCTATATGTTATGGTAGCCTATCGATATAGCCGGCGACGATATCGAAGAAAGTCCAAAGCAGACCGTGAGTGGTGATGCTTCGGGTTGCACTGACACCTAGTCCTCGGTATATCCTGGCAACCCCGACGTGGATGGGTTGAGGATTATTAGGGTCAGGTCCTAACATGCAATGGGATGTTAATTCCCATGAGTGCTCATATGTACAAGAAAAAAATACCTCGTATGAGACGCCTGAATGTTTCGCGTACACCGCGAGGAGGAAGACCTGCTAAGGATCGCTCTTGCACCTTCGTTTTCACGCTTGCGCAAGATATCAGTCGACTTGATTGTTTGGCTAGATCCATGATCACTTACACGTCCAGCGGGTAGATCAGGGCCCAGGATGTCACGCCACAGAAAGAACCGCACACAAAAGGTATCAGGCCATTAGGAAGCGGCAGCCACGGAGGAGGAGGCCCTTGCTCTCCATTGGGACGCCTTCCCATCAGATACCGCATACCATCATACTCCAGAAAATAGAGACCCGTCCCACTTGTATCACGTACTAAGTCCAGGAATGTAAAACGGAGAGACTACTTCTGAGGAAGAAGAGGCAACTCACGGAAGTGCATGCGCATGCCAGTCCACATGCCGAACCTGCCATTCGTACGAATTATGTCTCTAACAGCTTCCATAGTACTGGGCGGCTTTGCTATACGCTGGCCTTTCGAGGCTGCGATGGCATACTCGAGCTGCCTGCGGATCTAGGTCACGTTCGTAAGACATTTGACTCTGACAACCTAAGAGAGAACCAACCTTAACCAGTTCGAATGCTGGTCACGGGACGACGTGAGCTTCTGTACGGGTGAGAGCGAGAGCACTTACGGGCACTGGCGAACGAAATGGCAGATCCAGCGAGAGCGCCACCAATCCCACCGCTCGCTGCGACATCAACGAGGGTGTTACGGGCGAGCATGCCATTCCTATGCAATGTTACCTTGGTGTTATCGTAAATAGTCATGGATGTGGCTCCTGAAATCTCCTTCAGCGTGTCCCTTCAACCAAGGGAGGTAGCATCTGACGCACGAACGAATGATATGGTCATGAGAGGTATCCAGAAACCGCGATAAAACCCAATTAAGCCCTCATCACGGTACACCTGGGCAGCGAGTTTAGGCACAGATATGCGTACTCTCCGCGTCTGAAGTCTAGACTTGAGAGAGTCCAGCTAATTCGCGTCAATACCGACCATCCCGCCAGAGTTTTAGCTGATCTTTCGCATACCGGATACCCGACAAAGGTCGATATGTAGCTCGCTGTGAGAGCACATACTGCCGTCTTGTTTCCTTATATGAACGTCAACTAATAATACTACGGGCAAATATTAATTGACATACGTCGGATAGCCTCATTCAATGCTAGCGATCCAGACAGAGACTTTGGTTGGCTACTCCACTGTTCAGTGGCCGGTATTTGAAGATCATTTGAGCGTACCTTTCTCCATCCATGAAGCACGCTCGCTGGGCCGGCCGAGTCCAGTTTTCGTGCGTTTGCACGGCCGGTCAACGTTTTGCAGCAAAATGAATATGTCGTACGTCGTAGTCCAGGTCAAGCCAGTTAGCAGACGGAACAGAGGTTCACACCCAGCGCCAGTAGTACCAGTACGTGAAGCAGCAAACAGGGTCATCCGAAGCGGTCCCCTCCTTCCTATTTCGGCAATACACGGCTCGGCAAATGTCGGTTATCCTGAGACTATGGTGCGGGACACCTAGTCACCGCTACTTTTGGACAGTGGCAAAATCGGTGCTGGAGAAAATTTTTAATTCTGAGGTCACGAAAACGAGGACTTCGCAGTGGGCAGAGCTATTTAATGGTACTCAGTAGCTATATAAGGACTCACAGTGTTATACACAAGTAGGTAGCCAAGGATTTCTCGACCTTGCATAGTGATTACATAATAAGCGCCTATCTATATGGGGTAATTTGGCAAAATAGATTTGGGCCAAAATTATAACTCCTTCAATTTTAAGTATTTCGACAATCCGTCTTGAGAAGCTGATTCTTTCATCAAATGCAGTGTTTTCCCAAGATGGATAAGAAAATGAGGGAAAATTGGACCCTCCATAACTGTTGTACCAAAGTAGTGGTGACTAGGTGTCCCGCACCATAGCAGCCACCCGTGCAATACTGCATGGTAGTGAGCCGGCCAGGAAAGTGTACCGCGAATACGTAGTTTACTTATTCACCCCTCATTATTTCTCTCTGAAAGTCTTGATATGCGATGTCAGGGCCACGCTGGGCCCAAGAGCTGTGATACGGCCCCTTAGTTATGGCATAAATTGCCAGCCACATCGCAGCTTGGCTGCGATGTGGCCCCTCATTGACTGTAGCAAGCCTCAGAATATTTAATCTCAGTGTCTGACATGCCCCCCCAGCTCCCTTGGCGTCATATGACTATAGCATGCTATCATTCCCAGTGTAAGTTGAAGTTCTATAATGCCCAGAGTGGCCACCGGGCCGTGAGCAACAATAAGAGTCCATGGACTGAGAACCAAAAGTGGCATCTGGGGCAAGTCACTGTACCGAGATGCAGCTAATACGATCTTAGTATTCCATATCTACGTTCAGTTTCCTAGTCCTTCTCTATAGAGGATGAGGGACTCTCAAAGTACGGAAGGTAACTCCATTAAGTGGACTAGATATTCGATATACACTACGGGATTATAGATAGTGCTGTCCTGTCGTGCTCTGTTAGAATCCACCCATTCGCTTCTTCGCTGCCTTCTTTTTGCCTACAGGCACACGACCGCCAAACGGTCCAGGAAGAATCTGAGTGTTCGTCATGAACATGTCCTGAGATTGGGAGTTTGCAGGAGTTAACTGCGTCGTAGCGCCCGTGCGTCCTCCTGCCATGGGCTCCTGAGATTGAACTGCCGCGGGCCTGGGTACGGTCTGCAAAGAGGGCACAGGAGGAGCAAGTGTTCGAGCTGCAACGATCACAGGCGGCCTCTGTGTCTCCCTCTCCGGGCGAGAAGAATTTCGGCTCGCTTCAGCAGCCGGCTTGCTTCGAAAAGGAGTAATTGTTGGCGTAGACCCAGCCGTGTCATACGGATCTTGATAAACATAGCTGTCCGGATCTCCATCCACATCCCATTCCTGCAGCAAGAGGCGGGCACCGAGAGGCATCTCCATTGAAGCTCCGCGCATTGGAGGCTGCTCCTTTCCATCTACCATGGGGTAATGATTCTTTGCGTCCTTCATTGCCGGCCGAAGATACCCAAAATGGACAGGAGGAGGCTCGGACACGGACAAGGACATGTTTTCCGTCGCACGGGACATAGTCTCGAAGGCGTCGTCGAGATCCGACGCGGACGGTTTACGAAATGAGTTAACGGAGAAGACATCCGACGATAATGCCAGATCAAGCGTGAGTCGTTCGCGAGCCTCTGCTTCCAGTCGGTACGATGGACCAGCACGCTCCGGCGGCGATGCCAGATCGTAGCGACGCAGCTGTTCGACTGTCTCTTCAGGATGATCTCCGTCGCAATCAAAATGACGAAGGAAGGATGTAATGTCTTTGTGCCAAGGAAATTGTTTTATCAACGCACACTTCGGGATCCGCCCCAGCATCAAAGCCCGGTACCCGCGGGCAGAATTGAGGGAGCTCTGGGTGAGGAAGTCCGATCTGGATATTTCATCTGGTTCGTCTCCGGACCGAAATGCTATGTCGAACCTGTGTACATTATTGAGCATTGCTGGACCCTTCGGCAAAGGGGATGAGTGGACAAACATAGTTAGGACATTGTCCACCGGCTCGTCCAGGTTCTGCTTGAAGGTGGGCATCTTCTCTAGGATTTCATATACAGCCTCGGGATCCTCTTCAGGGTCCTTGCCGATCCCATGGATCATCAACCCTGTTAAATACATTGATTTTCATACTTGAAGACAGCAGCCTAACGGAATAGTCCTTACTTTCATAGACGGGTCTCAAGTCGATTTGACTAAACTCACGTCCTCCTAGGGGACCAACGTCCGGGCGCAACCGGCCCTCATCTCCCATCGAAGGAACATCTGCTGACTGTTCAGCGTTCGATGTCGGCAAGTCGCCTGCTGACATGTTTCCCTCGAAATGCTGGAAATCCGTACGATCTAGACCTCCCCTTTCAGATAATCGTACCAGGCTGTATTCCGTCATACTGCCTTGAGAATTTACTAACAGCTTAGCACCTGCATAAGGTGCTTTCGAGCGATTCGTGGCGAAAGGAGAGTAAGGGGATGCGTTCGAGTAGACCAATCCATCGGCAGGGTCTCGAGAAACATCATACACAGTGATGAATTCGTTCTTGCGAGAAGCCAGTAGAGTCAAAGGGCCTGCATCGACTGTCAGAAGATTGTAACGTCTGAATATGAAGGGAAACAGTAATTACTGGTCAGACTCTCTGTCGTGACCGTGAACAACGACCGGTCAAATTCGCGTTTGTGCTTATAGCCCAGGACTGGCTTTCGAGTAAATCTGTCGTCGATCCATAATATATCCTTTGAGGTAGTGATGCATATCAGGTGATCTGAGCGTGACGCTTCAACAGACGTGACAGGGTAGGAAGGCTGCGGTGCAGAGAAAACCGAGGACGGTTTGGCTATTGACTGCCAATAAAAATGAGAACAATAGGCTATACCGCAGCTTCAAGCTTACTCGGAAGTCCAATCTACCAACAGCGTTACTTGAAAACACCAGGAACCAATCAGCCTGCTTGGGCAGAGCGATCCTGTGGAAAGGGTCTTGCGACGCCGACAAGTCACTGTCTGATGCTTTATGCAAGACATCACTGTCAAGACCATCAATGGATAGACAATGAGACAGGTCAGTGATGTACCAACATTGCGTTCCCCCCGCCTCCCATGCGGCAGGTGCGTATGGACCCTTGATCATCCGCGAAGAGCAGTTCAGGGTTGCTCGTTGGACGTAGTTTGACATCCACGACCCGCCGATCCCCAATCTCAGGGTGGCTGACGACCCCTTGCGCCACAGCTGACACTCCGTAGACAACTTGAATGGGCCCGTTGGTGACCTTCCCCTTGACTTCTAGAAGCGTCGTGGAAGCGAACGTCCGAACAGCAAGCATTGAACCTTGATTTAGGTCAACATCATTTCCTTGGTACGAGGCAGATAAATGCTGCACGAACCCAGCGCAGTTGCAGAACCAAGTGATGAGCCAGCTAATTGCACAATGGGTGTTTCGAACGACTTAACAGGTTGAGGCGAAGGGTTGGCCATTGCCCTATCCTTCTGTTGGTAGGGAAAGGGCAAGATATCTACAGGGAGAGTGAATCCGATGGCAATACTACTTTGCGAACCATCACCTACTCAAATCTCGTTTGGATTCGCCCATGGGAAAGGCTAGACATGACCCGCGTTTGCGTGAACTGTCATAGCACTCTACTATTTCCAGCGTTTCTCCCGCGTACGGGTCGAATTCCTGAAGCTGTTGCGAAGCTCGAGCGTCCATGGCTATCTCTTCTCGTATGAGCTCTCCCGGGATATCAACATCAGGAAAGTATGTCCTGATAAAGTGAGCCTACATAAATTAGGTATGTGGACGAACATGAACACGGGTATGAGTACTGACCCCTTGCTCTGCACGTTGCCGTATCGACGAGAGTGGCATTTGGACCGGTACGGGACATGTGGGAGGATATATCTCACTACTCTTCCCTTTCTGACACAGCCTCCGTCCTAGAAGACGTCAGGGGTGCCCTGATGCTAGCCGAGGTGCGACGTACCAGTATTCCTACAGGGGAAGTCCCATTCAAATCTTCCATATTCCCCCCTCAGACCCAGTGTAGTCAACGCACCCTCCTCAAGAAGAGGATAAGACCATGGATTTTCCTCTTGCTTCTTCTTTCCTTTCCGCGTGCCTTGATTAAGTCGACCTTGTACCGGTCTATCATCGGAGAGCCAGATGTCCATTCCATTTGACGGCCAGCAAGGTGATCAGGCGCAGTATGCCCCTGCAATATGCATATACCCAAGTTGCGTCTAAGATGAAACCACCCAATAAAGCCGACTCACCTTCGAGGACGGGGAAGGAGAAACTGAGACTACATATAGGTACGAAAGTGACACTGGGGCACGTGACATATAATTTCAGTGTCACGTCCAAGGCAGCGGCCTCAGCGCCTGCAGCCGCAGGGGGTTCATACAATTGCAACACATCTTCCACGGCGTTATGATGCGGATATGGTCGCTCAATCCTCGCTCGGCATCCTTACTTTGTAGGGAGATACACTCCACGGCCGTGAAACAGGCAACTCCGGTGCAAGCTGTGGACAAGGGCAAGCAGGCCGTGAAATGGACGCCGAATTCAATGCGGACTGGTGTTATTGCGAGGAAGCGGGGCATGACGGCTATGTGGGATGACCAGGGAGCACGCCATCCCGTCACTGTTCTTCAGGTATGCTTCAGGGCATTTTAAACCGTCAATATTTGACTTGAACGGTCATGAAAGTTGGATAATTGTCAAGTGACTGCAAATATCAAGACCGTCCGCAAGGACAAGTCAGAATATCACGCTGTGCAAGTCGCTGCAACTGACAAAAGAGCCAAGAACACAACTGCCCAAATGCTAGGGCATTTCGAGAAGGCAGGTGTGGCCCCGAAGCAGATAGTGAAGGAGTTCCCAGTTACTCCGGATGCGCATGTCCCGGTCGGTTCGTGGACACATCACTGCTTTCTGGCTCCGAGTCCTAAGAGCTTGTTAGGCACAGTACTTTCTGCTGTTCACTTTGTTCCTGGCCAGTATGTCGATGTTATTGCCAAGTCGTACGTTCCCATCAATATGCTCTCAGCGGTTTGGTTTGTCATATCCCCTTTCAGTATCGGCAAAGGCTTCCAGGGCGGTATGAAACGCTGGAATTTCAAGGGTCTTCGGGCTAGTCACGGTGTCTCGATATCACACCGTTCCAGCGGTGCTATGGGTGCCCACCAGGTCTGTCGCTACCCTGATCTCCTCCTTTGTGCTGAGCTGATTCAGTGTAACATAGGATCCCGGTCGTATATGGCCAGGGAAGAAGATGCCTGGTCGATTAGGTGGAGAACGGATAACAACACAGAATCTGAAGGTTATTCGAGTGGATAGTACACTCAACCTCGTTTTCGTTCGCGGGTGCGTCCCAGGCGTCGACGACGCGCATGTCATGGTGCAAGACGCGAAGAAGACCCTGGTCTTCGCTGCCAAACATAACCATGCCAAGGCATTGTATGAGAAGGTGCTTCCAAAGGGTGTCGATGATCTGCCCTTCCCCGCAGGAACTGCAGAGTTGGCGAAGGACCTTCCCCCAGTCATCGAGGCTCCTGCTATGCGTACCAGTCCCTTCATACCCAGAGAGTAATACACCGCTCGCTTTGCTTCGCAATGCATGTTTGTACAGGTTCAGCAAAGTGCTCAGCTTTTAGTTTCGGCACCTATAATGATGACCTCATCTGGACCATTGAGGCGTCGATCTGCCTTTCCAAGCTGCATTGCTTGTTGCATGTGCAAGGCTGGTAAGTAACTGCGCCGTATATGTGCGCTGAGAGTACTTGGAGAGTACCGTTCTAGTCCGGAGAATTCTGACATCTACAAGTACCGGTTGTGAACTATCCTCTGCGTGCCCGACGGTTCTGACTGGCAGCCGCGATGTCAATCCATAACCAAGACCGCTTGCTCGTTCAGATCGCTTCGTATAACACCAATTTGCAAGGAATATTCGGGCTACCCCAGGACCTCGTAGACTGGCTGTCTCCGACCTTACAAGTGTCCAACTTTCTGTCTCGAGAGCCTAGAGCACCGGACATCGTTGCAGTCGGGTTCCAGGAGCTACTGCCTCTGCACCTTGGCTGTAAGTTCAGGAATACTTCGTTATGCAAGTACACTCACACCATCATACTCCACAGTTTCGGGCCTCTCAAAGAGAGTCATTAACCAGCGGGATGACCTTATACTGTCGCAAATCGAGGCCTATGCGCCGAACAAGGAGAAGTATACCCTCATAGCGAAGATCGTGAATGTGGGGGTCGCCCTCCTGGTGTATGGCCGTGACGGCGGCGTAGCGAGGAAAGTCTGCGATGTTCAGACACAATGGACAGGATGTGGGCCGTTGTTCATGGGCAATAAGGGTGCCGTCGGGGTACGTTTCCGCGTTGCTGGAGACGATGGAGGGGCCGGGGAGGTGTTTACGTGCGTCCTTACAACCTCCTTCTCGTATGTCCTCACCGAGTGATGAGTGCTGCAGTTTCGTCTGTGCGCATCTTACTGCGCACGAACATAAACTCTCTTCACGAATATCCGACTATCATCACATCGTCCGGACTCTGCTCTTCCCCCCTCTTCCCAATTCCGACTCTACGTCGCCCACCACCATGTACTCCACCTCCCACCTATTTTTCTTCGGAGACCTGAACTTCCGAGTGTCTCTCCCATCCTCCCACCCCCTATCCGGTATCACCAAACGGGCTGACTTTGTGAAAGCTCTGGAATCTGAGGCGGACAGGGAGAGTTTGAAGGAGCACGATCAGCTCCTCCTTGAGAAGAGCAAGGGCAGCGCTTTCGTTGGTCTTAGAGAAGGCCAGTTTTGGAAGTTCAAGTGCACATACAAGCACCAGCTCGGTGAGGTGGAGAAGTACAGGTACGCTGCGTGACCTTTTTTTGCTATACGAAAGAGGCTGACCTAGTTCATCCAGCATGCTGCGCACGCCTTCATGGACAGACCGAGTGCTCTATGTCACACATACCGACTCGCCCGAAAATCCGACCGAGTCTAATATAGAGAACCTGCTATACACCTCTATACCATCATATACCACCTCAGACCATGTAAGACCTTTTATCCATGTACACCTTTCTACTGCTAACCCGACCTCAGAAACCAATCGTGGCTCTCCTCTCTCTGCCTTCCGTCTCTAACACCAGCACGGCCACTTCCCCAACACTCCGTCTCCCGCCTTCCTACCGCCCCACTCCAGACCCTCGCGCCAACCTGAAGCGCTACCTCGGCCGCACGCTTGACCGCGTGGTTGGCTTTACCTGGCTGGTGCTCATCCTCATCGGTGCCGGCTCCGCCTTGCTCGGCCTTGCCGCCCTCGTTGGCGGGTCGCTGTTCTACACCTTCTGGCGGTGGTGGAGGGTGCGCTCGTTCGTGGTGCCCTTCGACAACTACTACGCCCGGACTGTGGAGTCGTATTTGCAAGGAAAGTAGTTCTAGTCATGTCGTTATTTGTTTTTGTATACCGGACATTTGTTCCTTGTACCCTGTCGATATCCGATGCGGATACCCTTTGGATTGTATACTAATCACTACACCATGTCGTGTAACAATAACTAATGTTGTGAACTTCGTATGAACCTGGATTACTATCTTACAGAACAATATGTCTATCTACGCCGTGAATGTGTGGAGAAAAGTCGTGACCGAAAACGTAAACGAACAACACTCGAGCGTCCGAGAGGGCCAGGGTCAATAAATATCATACACAGCACACCTCAGACTTCCTCCTCACTTTCCCCCACCACGCTCTTCGCCTTCGCCTTTCGCCCCCTGTCCTCCCCGACATCCCCCACCAACGTCTCCTCCCTCCCCAAAGAGCGCCGTCCCTCCGCCTCCTCCACATCCCCACCCCCGTCCTCCTTCGGCAGCCGAATCAGCGCGAGCAGCAGAAACGACAGCGCGACGCCGCCCGCGGACAAAAAGAAGATCGCCTGCGGGACGGTGCGCACGGTGCGCACATACGTCACGCCGTACACCGCGGGGCCGAGCACCTGCGACGCGAGCACCTGCACGACGCTCCACGCGCCAAAGAGGCGCCCCGTCTCGCGCCCGCCCTGCCGCGCGTACAGCTCGAGCGCGAGGCTCTGCGCGGCGGGCCCGAAGCCGCCGCCGAGGCTGCCGAGCACGGCGGCGAGCGTGAAGGCGCCGCCCGTGGGCGCGAGCGGCATGAGCGTGTAGGCGAGGACGTCGACGAGGAGCGAGCCGCGCGCGAGGAGGAGGTCGAAGGAGGGCGAGGCGGGGGCTTTGGGCGCGAGGGGGGGTGGAGCGGTGGAGGAGCCGGGGGAGAGCGGCTCGGAGGGGGACGTGGGCAGCTGGATCGGCGGGGGTTTGGGCTTGAAGAGGTGGATGATGACTGGGCGGGGATTAGTGGCGGATATGGGTAGAGTAAGCAGCGCAAGACTTACGAGGTAGCAAGATAGTCAGATGGAACGCCCTCGACGCGCCGACCAAGCTCAGCCAGTACCCCAGCTGATGCAATACCATTAGCTTGGCTCCTTGCAAAGCACTGCACACTCACCGCCTCAGAGCCCCACCCAAACTGGCTCGCCGCATACTGGAACTTGTACGTGATGCCGCCAAAGTTAAGGATCACCAGCCCAAACGCAGCCGCCACGAGCGTCAAGCTCCAATCGCGTCCCTTCCCGCGGCCGCGCTTAGCGGGCACGAACACCGCGAGCGGGCTGAAGACGCCGAGCACGCCCCTGCGCGCGTCGTCGCCGACGTGGTTCGCGCGCGCGCGGCGCATCTCCGGCGCGGTGAGGCTCTCCGGGACGACGCACCAGACCATGAAGGCGTAGGCGGAGTCGATGGCGAGCGCGATGTAGAAGAGCGAGAGGAGGTCCTGCGTGAAGCGCACGACGAGCCCGCCGAGCGTGGGCCCGATGGCGGTGCCCGTGAAGAGGAGGCCGAGCTGGAGGGAGAAGAGGCGCGAGCGCGAGGCGGGGGGCGTGCAGTCAGCGATGTAGGCGTGCGTGGCCGCGGCAGCGGTTGTGATCCCTGTTCGATGGTGCGTGGTATGCGTTTAGCTGGGTTGGGAGTGTGCGGAAGAAGAAGAAGAGAAAGCGTACCTCCGAGGGCGCCCTCGATGACGGCGCTGACCACGAGGAACCAGTACCCGCCGGGGATGTACTGCGAGTAGTGCGCGACGAAGATAAAGTTGGAGAGCTGGATGAGCAGCCCGAGGACGGTGAAGCGCAGGACGAAGACGCGGCCGTGCCGGTCGGAGAGCTGGATGGGTGCATAAGTAGATGAGCTAGAGAGCATAGGGAGATGGAGACTTACTGCGCCCCACCAAGCGGTCGAGATGAAACCCAGGATGCCGGTGCTTGCCAGTATAACTAGACAGAGCGGGAATGAGTGCTAGGTTATTAGTAAATTATCGGGTCCTTACCAGTATTGAGCTTGGCCACGGCGGCTTGGACGACAGGATCCTTTGCGCAAAGCGATTGCTCCTTCTTGTACAGTTCGCGCTCAGCGGGGGTGTACATGATAGACACTTCCATCCCTCCATCGGTTCCGATAGACGGGACAGTCGCATTGAGTGAAGGCGAGAAGCTCCCCAGGTCTGGGGACGGGACGTAGACTGCGCTGGGCATATAGACCCCGCCGGCATCTGCAGGGGTATGGGAGGTGTACTCTGGCTTGTGGGTTCTGCAGGCAATGCGGGTCATGATCTCGATCTTGGGCGCCATGATGGCGGACATGGTGAGCGAGGAGAAGGGGATCATGGCGAGGAACCTGGGGAGCGGGAATGAGCAAGGGCGTGGGCTGCAATGAGAAAGGACATACCAGTACGGCGAGGGCGTCCTCCACCACGGCAGGGCCTTCCTGGCCTCCCACTCTGCGTCGATCTCGCGCTCCTCGTCGTCGTCCCCGGCGTCGTCGTCCTCGACGAGGGTGTCTTCGCCCTCGTGCCTGTGGGGGTGGATGAACTCATGGAGGAGCTCTGCGGTGTGCTCGCCCACGGGCCCGTCGGGGAGGATGAGGTCGGCGGGGCCGTCGGGGAGGTAGGTGGCGGAGACGCGGGAGGCGTTGCGCGAGCCGATGCCCGGGCGCAGGCGGGAGGGCGTTGGGCGGCGCGAGGACATCGTGGGGGACGAGGAGGAGGCTCGGGGCATTGGCATTAATATAGCAGCCGGGTTATCTTATCGGCCTCTGCCTCGCACACCCATCATGGTCAGTCTGTTGCAAGTCTGCAGTGCTCAGTGCTCTGACCACCGCTGCAGTCGCACACCGTCGACATCCCCCAGGCCCTCAAGGACTCCCTCCGCAACTTCCGCTTCGCCCGCAGAAATGCCGGCCACGCCGCGATGGTCGTCCGCGTCAACAAGCAGAAGCTCGTCATGGAGGAGGTCGACACCTTCGACGACATCTCCCCCGAGGACCTAGCAGACGGTGCGAGCTATCCTCCCTTGCCATTTTCCTGCCATCTACAGCGTATCTCTCTAGAGCTCCCCGAAAACTCCCCGCGCTACGTCCTCCTCTCCTACGAGCTCGCCCACCCCGACGGGCGCAAGTCCTTCCCGCTCGTCCTCATCAACTGGGCCCCCACGTCCAGCGAGATCGGGCTCCTCACCCTCCACGCCTCTGCCTTTCTCGACTTTCAGAACACCGTGCGTGCCTCTTCTTATCTATCTACGCGTTAATGCTCACACGCGTACAGGCCGACGTGAGCAAGGTCATCGAGGTCCGCGACGGCGCAGAGGGCCTTACCAAGCAGGTCATCGACTCCAAGCTCAAGGTCCTCTAGCCGTCCCGTCCGCATATTCTCCATATCAGGTTATATCGGCTGCTTTCCTCTCACATCTGTATCCGTATCACTTGTACCAATCGGAGGTCTCGGAGATAATAACATTACCCCTTTCATATCCAAGGTCCCGCTGTCTCTAATTTCTGATGATAACGCCCCTCTGCCGCGAAAGCCGTCGCTATCTTGCTATCATCCAATATTATATTACCCCTCTCTTAGGCCCAGAGTATACAGTACATAGTCTTCTATTCGACTGCCCGCAGATTTCTTGAACTTCCATAGGCATTCAAGTTACACATTCCGACACATCTCAGGGACTCCTTACTCGCGCGCGCAGCATAGTCAGCAGACCAAAACATGGCTCGCTGCGGGACACGAGAGACACTGCGAAACCCGCAACGTTCTCCTGCGTGGCACACCTTTGGATAACCATTATCAAATTGTATGACCGACCTCGCGCCGACGTACGGGCATGGCATGTGCAACTGCGCAGGTTTCCCGACGCAGTTAGGGTTACCGCCGCCTGGGTCGTATTCCGACGGATCACCAATTCCACTGGGGAAGACTTGTGGCTTAAGCCGCTGCTGCTACATAAAGAATGTGAGTGGTGTGGCCAGACACAGAGTGCTGGTCCGCATGCAGAGGGAATGATACGACCGTACCGACCATCGCAAGCCTTGTCACACGTCCCTCCGGCTACCGTGCATCCGCAAGCGCAGGTCCATCCTTAAAGATAGTGTATATTCCTCGTATGAAGCACTAGCTGGCCAGACGGGTCGCCACTCGCTGCGTCTTGACGTAGGTGAAGGACCTCTGTGCCGCTTGAATGCCAGGCGTTGTGAAAGGATCCCCGGCCGTATGTTTTTTCATATGGTGAGGACGCCCTAGCACTTCCGCGGCCACCGAGGCGAGCCTCTTCGCTATGCCCTCGCCCATGAGCCTGTGATCATTGAATAGCAGGAGGTATTGAGCGCTGAGCGCGGCGTCCGTGACCAAAGTGGCTTCCCAGCATTTGAGCGAGTCTTAATATCCGCTCATCCAGGTTTGAGGCCGCTTGGCCGAGCGACAAAAGGCTGAAGAGATCCCTCGCTGGTGGGGCACTTGGAGAAAGCGGGCCCCCCAAGCCAACTTCAACTCGGACACAGCGCCACAATCCTGCGCGAGGAGGTACGCTCGATGCTTTTGAAGTGATTTCTATTATCGACGAAATGATATCGAAATACCAACTGTGAGACTCACCATATTCGGTGGTGGCTTGAGTGCTGAGCGTTCAGAGCCAGAGGCCTGTTCGTACCGTATGATCAGCCGTCACCATTAGAGTAATTACCGAATACTAGACGATCGGGCAAAGGACGTTGCCTCTTACGCGTTAGAAAATTTGCCTCAATGTGTCGGGGATTTGCACGGCCTCCCGCTGAGCAGAGCTCATCTGTGTCCAGCTGGGCCTCCATCCACAGGTGATATGTATCAGGGTTCCTGGAAAGACCCTCATTCTAAGGGGAGGATCTCCTTTGGATATGGTTCAGACAGTATGCAGTTTGAAGTGGTTTCGAGAACACCCCCTAACTCGGAGGAAGGCCACACCAGTACGTCTTCCACCGGCTAAGTACTAGTAAATTTGAGCTTCAGGAAGGTTCCGGTTGATTGCAAACTGCTTTATCCTCGAGTAGTCCAGTGCTTTTGTGTCCGACTGTGTAGAATGTATCCGTGTCGGCTCTGAGAAACGGAACCAAAGCACTCCCTCGGAGCGGATCAACTGGAATGTATGCAAAGCCCGGATCTAAATCTCGGACGCGCCCACAACGCGTCGCACGTGACAGGGCCCTCGCTTCGCAGCAGTATCGCTGGCCTGATGGCGGACTTTGCACGACCCTCAACCGCGTCGAGGCTGCACGTTCGCAGCACCCTCTCCGTATCTGCCTCAACCATCTTGCATATTCACCTGGAATTTCTACCTCAGCCACCTTGGAACCTCGGTATTTCTGGAGTCTTGACGTGGGGATTCCATTCTGATCGCTGGCACTGCCGCTTTACTGCATTTGGGCAACGCGTCGACGTCGGGCGTGACGCGCTTGGGAATGATGGCAGAGGAGGATCTGAGTGACTTCGAATTCGGTTCTGACTTCCCGGACCTCGATGAATGTGTCAACTGCGACGAGCGTGAGTGATATTCCAAGGTGCACGCTCGTCTGAGACGAGTCTTGCGCCGTCAGTATTAGGAGACGATGCGCCGGTTACCGGCAAAGGCAAAGCACCAGCCGTGGATCCAGAGGTCATCGTCGTGGATGACGATGAGGAAGAGGTTACTGTACCTAAGCCCGAGGCCCTGTCTCGAGGGTCATCTCAGGTTAGCACCGTCTAGTCGGACGCTATCTCAAGCGCGCGTCCGATGTAACCCGTCCATTCAGGATGCTTATGAAAGTTTGCCCGACGAGAGCTTTTTTGACATTGATATTGAAGACTGTGAGTTCAACGGACGCTTCTTCCAGATGACTTCGAGGATCTAATGACGTGACTATAGTGCAGCGTTCACTAAATACGGCGGATGCGTTAGACCCGCCCTTGTCGACCACTTCGTCGAAAACCGCCGGTAAGTCCGCTGTAGCTATTACGCACAGGTGAAGCATATCCAACGATCCGCTTAGACTCGGTGACTGCGACTGAACCTGTCAGCTCGAAGGATTCGTCAAAGTCGTCGTCGTCCAGGATATTTGAGAGAACTGGTGAGACCCGAGAAGGACACTGTATCTGCATTTCTCACATAAGACGCAAGTATCAGCCCCTTCTACTTCAACCACATCCGCTACTACGTCTGGCCCAGCGCCGTCTCTTACTACATGCGCTAAATCGAAGTCATGCAAGTCGTTCATTTCTAATGATAAAGCGGACGTTAATGTCATCATAGTCCCCAGTGGTTCGACATCGGTTGGGGTTGCAGGCTCCTCTAGACATAGACCTACGTCTGCTTTGACGGTCCCACAGAAAAGGAAATCCAGAGAGCCTGATTCTGTCGGTGTCCCCGAGTCAAGGATCACCCGCCGCAAGCTACCCTGCCTCATATACGAGGGAGAACCTCCGGAGAAACCTGTCATAATTGTAATCCAGCTCGCGTCCAGAGTGCAATGTTCAGGTCCGCTCACAATCATTCTATCTAGTCACACGATGCACGGTACAAGAACATATTCGACGCCAGGGCATTCCCGCTTGGCGTACAGTGGGAGATAGCCCGGTTCATGACAATCGAAAATATCAAAAATCTGGAATCCCGGAGTGAGGAAGAGTTCATAACTTACGGCTCCATCCAGTTGCAGTGGCTGGATAGCCTGCGGCGCCGTAACTGCGGCAACGCAGAAGCAAACGCTCAAATGGCACCTGATACCGCCCAGTTCCTTGCCGAAAATATATTGGAGGGCGCGGCCACAAAACGCGACCACCTGTATAGTACGATGTTTGCGAAGGAGATGATGGCGAAGGTGAGTGCGACGTGCTCATCCCCCCATAGTCGCTCATGCCATATCAGTCGCCCTGGAAAGAGCTCGATCGAGAAGTCGAAACTCTGCGGAATAATCCGAGCGGTTGCTTGGGAGTGGACGTTGGTGGGGGCGAAGGCAACGACGGCTGGTACGGCGGGAAAATTCATTTCACCGGAAAAATGAGGGAAGACGGGCATATCGTCCTACAGCGTCCGGAGCTTGGTCCGTCTTGTCGATTCACAAGGAAGTATGGATCTGCGAGCCTAGTCCGCATCAAGGTGCCTCAGAAACTTGTAGGCGACAAGCTGCGGGAATACTGCAAGCGTCCCTTCGTCATCCTGGGCCGCGTCTTCCGTGCCTTCTACGAAAAGGACCTCACGGTTTTCTTGATGCAGACAGATGAAGTGCTGTCTTCCGATCAGAACAGTGTGTTAATACAGAAGAGTGATGGACGGTCAATCTCCCATTTCATCAACTGGCACAATCCGATCTTTCAGAACCGAGAACAGGTGAGTGAGAAGGATGCAGGCTTTTATAGTGGCGTCGTTCAACTACCCGCAGACTATGGCCAAATGGGCAGCCCGTCAGGCCCTAGCGCTTTCCAACTCAGTCCCGGGCGTTCTCTTCAAGAAGGAAAATATCTTCGACATCCCAGACGAAAGTGAGTGCTCTATTTTCTGCTGTGCGACTTGCTAACGGACCTTTAGTTTCTGAGGCCTGGTATGAGAAGCAACACACTAAGGACGAGAAGCCGCCGAGCGAGATGATAATGACTGATGGGTGCGGCTTTGTCAATCGCACTGTACTCAATACATTACGAAAGCGGCATGGTTGGCACACCACACCCACAGCTATCCAGGGTCGTCTAGCAGGAGCCAAAGTCTGTCGTTCCTCAGGTGGACCGATGTCGTACTCACATAATATCAGGGTCTCTTTCTGGTCCATCCTACGGATGACGATCCAGAACCGAAAGCATGGATCCGGCCGTCCCAGGTTAAAATCAAATATACTGAGGAGCAAATGTCGGACCCGGCTCTGAGGACTCTCGACGTTTTGAGGGCGTCTCACATGAAGACCCCCGGGCGCCTGTCCGCTGAAATCATCATCAACCTTTCTCATAATGGTGTCCGTCCTAAAGTCTTCATCGAGCTGATGGCTGCTGGCTTGGAGGAGCGGGTGCGGGCTCTCACCGACTGGGAAGGTCCCGATGGCCCCTTCAATGTGTGGTGCGCAGTTGCCAGTGCCGGCAACGTGTTTAACGCTCGCGCTGCTCGAGAAGCGGCCGGTGAGGCCCGAGTGAACGGATATAGGGATAAGGATGATGATGACGCCGACGATGACGATGATGAAGAACTCATTGATATTGAAGTTGCCGTCAATGGCCGCTCATCGGCCTGGTGGGCTGATCATATTAGTGGTTGTCCGTCATCCTTGGAGGAGACATGCATGGTTCTCATTGATGCCGGGTTCACACCCGACACATGCTGGGTACTTCAAGCCAAGCTCCGGGAGGTCATAAAATCAAAGATCAAGACATATGTGAGCAAGTATAACTTTGAGGTATTCATGTCATGCACCGCCTTTATTGTCCCAGGTAAGTAACAAATTACCTTCACCACATTGTTGCTGACCGATGCCCTCCTTATAGATCCTGTGGGTGTCTTAGAGGCTGGTGAAATACAGATCCTCTGTTCAGACCGAGTAATGAAGCCAAGCGATGGGAGCGATGAACTGACAAATGTTATCATAGGTGACGTTGTGGTGCGTATGAGAGTCAGCCATGTTTTATTGTTGGCTTAGACACCTTGCAGGTCGGGCGGAATCCGTGCAAGCTCCCGACTGACGTGCAAAAGGTAGTGTTGTCTTTGACCCAGTTAGCACCATACTGACAGCACTTACTAGGTTAGAGCAGTCCAGAAAGACGAATTAAGGGAGTACAGAGATGTGATAGTGTTCAGCACGAAGGGTGATCGCTCGCTAGCTTCCAAACTCGGAGGTGGTACGTCGGCAAGTGTCTCCTACATGCGTCGTACCTTATTAGCTTCCTGCATGCAGGTGACTACGATGGCGACAAGGTGCTCGCTATATGGCAACCTGAGATCACGAACAGCTTTCAAAATGCGGATCCCAAATTCCTGGATCCCGCCGCTGAAGTTAAAGAGTGGATTTCCAAAGACCCGACCACCGTATCGGATATCCTTGAAGGCAGTACCCGGACATCCCTGGATCATTTTATCAGGGGGCAGCAGGACTTCCTCCTGATGGGCCTCAGGACTTTACCGCTAGTCGGAATCTATTCGACTATGCACGATTATGCAGCATACATGAAGGGGTATGATGCCGAGGAGACTGTTGCTTTGGCTCATATGTAAGTGAATTCCCTATTTTATCTACACTGCTCCTGACGATGCCAGGTCTTGTATTGTCTTGGATGGTACGAAAACTGGGCTCACGGTGAAGAGTGAGGTGTATGCTCGGCACGAAAACCTGTATCGGAAGGGAAAGCGGGCACCGTTCTGGAGAGAGGAGCAGAAAAAGGACACAGAGAAGGAGAAACTCATTCCCGCGAACGAGGCCCATCCCAAGCGTCCGGAGGCATTGCAGAACTTCGTTATGGACCGGATATTGGACGCTAGTCGCCAAGAACGTGACAAATGGCTCAGATATCTGGATGAACACATGCCCGAACCCGCTTTCACCGACAAGGATCTGGAGGAACCTTTGCGAGATGCGCGTCGACGAGCCCAGAATCGCATGGAGAAAGGTTGTCATGACCTGCACGACGACCTTCAACTTATCGAGCATCACGTCGAACGTATTTGGCGAGAAAGGCCGACCAGAGGCAATTCGGAGAAGAGCGGAAACAAGGAGGGCGGCGCTTCTTTCACGGGTCTGGGCATAGAGCAGCGCCAGGACAAGCTCCGAGAATTATCGAGGAAATTTGTTACCGAGCTCACTGCTGAAGACATGTATCTCATCGGGAAATGGGAGTTGGAGGAACTGAAGGCGTCTTGCGCATACTCCATTGCACCAAGGAACCGGTTCCCATTCGACGTTGCGACGCGTCACCTATGTGCTATCAAAGCAAGAAGCCTCGGACCTTACAAGGTCGTTACCCAAAACTTTTACGAACGCTTCCGAATCCACAAGTCCTTCGCGCAAAGGTATGGACGTTCGTAACAAGAGCTAATGTCTTGCACTCTCGAAGGGAAGTTGGGCGGTAATTTCTTTCGTATCCGATGCCCGACTGTTGTACCACCTGTTATACCACCTGTATTTGACTTATGATGACCCATCGTTGTACCAACCAGGCGGACGACAAAATTCAACGTCAATTTGACCGTCAGTCAAGACAATACCGCAATACCTCTGGGCCCAGCGACGCTACCAGTATATCCGCTTACACATAGTTCAACACTACAACTGCGAGTACACCAATGTTTCCCACTAGATAAACTACGCCTCTGAACCAGAGGCCGAGATATACGTTCTCGCCGAGGAATTCGAGCTTGTATGCTTCCGCAAGCCAAAGCACCTGTACGCCGAACCAGAGCGCCAGACATACAAGGGACGTACGAGGTGTGATCGACCGCGAAAGGCGGGGGAGGAGAAGAGGGAGGAATAGGATGTACCAGAGGAAGTACTGCCGAACAACCGATTAACCCCGACATTGAGAACAAGCAGGAAACGCGTACTTGAGACGTGCAGACTCGATTAAACACGACAAACAGCACAGTTTGTGCAAACCAGATGAAGGGTAGGTGCTCTTTGCTACCCAGTACACCGAACACAAAGCCAACTCCCAGGGAGAGAATCATTTGTGGTGCGAAGGAGGTCAACGGAGAGCGCAAGACCTTCTGGATGGAAGTCAGAGGGGCGAGCGAGGCGGCAGCGGACGGGTATGTCAGGTATATCCAGTAGAAATAAGGCGAGAAATTATGCCTATGGTCGAGCCGAGAAACGTGGTACAGATACGTATGTTCAACGAATGGCTGGCCCCATCTGGAGAGAATATGTGACCGGAACTTTGGTTCAATTATGACAAGATGGACTGACATTAGGTACATTCCTCCACCCAAAGCAAAGAACGTTCCGGCGCTGATAACGCCGAACTTGACAGTGCTCCAGTTTAGGACTCTGCTGACCCAATTGGACCGAGGGTTCCTCATTGCCAGAACACCCACGCAAGCGATCCCATAGATCACAGGGTATATCTTCCAGTGTGTACTGAGGCCTAACAGCACCGCGGCGGTCGTCCATCGCTCTTTGAGGCAGGCGTACAGACTGAGAAGTACAAGTAGGGACAGGACCGATTCCGAAGATCCTCGAGTTGATATGGTAAATACAAGGGGATTGAGAAGGTGTAAAGAGGTCAAGAGTGCCGCTAGGCAGTCTCGCGATGCTGGCTCCTGCTGTTTCCCTTCACCGGGGGAGGAGGATTGGGAGGGGGTCGACGCTGGTAGAATCACGTCGACTAGCATTCGGTACATCAACACGCTGGCAAGAACGTCGCATGCGGCGAAGAGATACTTCCCGAAGGAAGGGTGTATCCATTCATTTGGAGTAAGCAGTAGCGCCAGGAGTGGTGTGTAACGGTAGGTGGACCTAGTGTATGGACTGCAGCGGCGTCACCACAGCTCAAGCAAGCGAGAGGGACTGACACTCACTCTCCGACACCGAAAAGACCGCCCAATGGACCTTGGGCTACGTTGTCGGATGTTGGGCTCAGCAGGAATCGTGCTGCATCACTGAAGACTCTGTAGTCGATGTCAGTGTATTTCACTTTCGAGCGGGCATCGTGCCATTCGCTGTACAAGATGAGGGCCCAGCGCAGCAGAGACGAGACGAAGAGGACCGTGTAGAACGAAGGGAACGAGGCTGCTACACGGGACAGGCTCATCTACGTACGCGTCTGACGTCTGCAATTCACGACGCGTGCCAATAACTGAAATCGCGTGACTCGCGATTTCTCTCATCCCAGGTCGGAGTCCGACTCCGGATGCTCACTCTGGGAACCGCAGCTCGGACAGTGGAGATGGCTACTGGCTAATGCACGAGTCCAAACAATAATAGCAAGGTAGATTACAGGGAGAACGGGAACATGACGACTATACTAGCTAATGAAACCGAGCAGGAACAACAGTCCGCAAAGAAGCTGAACTAGAAGCTCAACGGGACTTCTACTTGACCATGTGGCATACAGGCTTAGATCTATATCAAGTACGTCAGAAGACTGCACAGCAGGAATTATACAGTAACACTCACGTATTGCGACAACCAGCGGAAACCTGTATCTCCCCACGTCAGCGGCCGCAGTTGAGTCGAATCAAAGACAGGACTCACCCTCTCCATAACCCTGTCTCTGCACAACCGAGCACATGAAGAGCTCAATAGGACGGATGTCCGTCAATGGCACCTTACCCTAAATTGACAGCCATTGATGAACGTCCGCAACCAAAGCTGTGCTGCCTACTTACCTTGCCAGTTGTTTGATACAGGCCCAAATGGTGTCTCAGCTCCTCCTCGCTGACAGCACCGGGGGCATCAATCTTGTTGCCGAAGATGAGGAAAGGCACCTTGGAGAGTTCCTCGATTGAGAGGAGCGCGTCCAATTCGGCTTTGGATTCAGGGAACCGCTCAAAGTCAGCAGCGTCTACAAGGAAGACAATACCGTCGACCTCGGGGAAGTAGTCACGCCATAGGCGACGGGCTGAAATAATGCAACATTAGATCCAGCCACCGGGTAAGGATTCCGAAGGCAGGACCCACCCTGCTGATGTCCACCCAAGTCGTAGGTAGTGAACTTCACGTTTCCAATAGCAAGCTCCTCAGATGCTGAACAGTATGAACTCAGCTCAAATGCGCTAGTCCAAAGATTGCTGTGCTCACTAGGGTGTAGCGTCGGCTGCAGGGTGGCTAGCCTGTCGTTTTTGAGCATGTGCAACAGGGTCTGAAATAATCATGAGACGAATGCACTGTCGAAGCCAGGTCAGACAAACTCACTGTCTTTCCTGCGTTATCCAGCCCGAGGAAAAGAATCTTCGCATTCTTGTGCAGCAGACCTAACCCGCGTTACTCCGCGTTCATTTCACGGACGCTATGGACCCGTATGCATCACATACCAAGCTGCGCAAGGACGTCCCAGAACCAGTTGATGATGAACATGGTCGCTCAGACAGCAGAGGACTGCAGTGCAAGATGTACAAAGGGAACAGAGAGGAACTCGTGTCTACGCGGGTCTCGTATGACGGCGATTAACGCTCGTTCCTGTTTCTCGTGACACGTCATAATGGTCACGCTATTGGTTGCCTTTCTTCGAGCACGAACGGAGTCTCCTCCAGATGTCCTGTTTTTCTTTACTTTGCTCTCTACGACTGCATGTGCCATCTGCTTCCAACCGTTTTTTCGCCTTACTGCGTGACCCTCCCCTTAATTGTGCACTGCCCAACCTTGACCGTGTACACGTCTACTGAGAAAATACGGCCGCAGAACATCTTCCCTCTGCAATGTTTCTAGGCTGCTTCAGGTGCTATGTAGCAGGCCTAAGGCCTCAGTACTAAGGCGGTGTTCTCGGATGTCTTTGCTTGTTCTGCACAATAATCCAATGGACGGTCACAGAAACGTATTTATTCCAAAAGTACTTGCACAAGATATGTGGGGGAAGTCTGACACTCACGGCACCATGGGGTGAAAACCAAGCGGGTGAGCTCTTATACCGCCCCGACATCTCTCTACGCATACCACATCGCCTCGTCCACCGTAATGTGAGTAGAAGGGACGGGCACTGTCTAAAAGGCTGCGACGGACAAGGAACATTTTCCAACAGCCGCGCCTTATATAGCGGTCTCTGTTTGGCCATGTTGACTCTCGGACTTGTCCGATTTGGATTGGGGTAGTGCACCCGGCGGCCCTCCTACCAATCTCCTGCGTACGAAAAATATTGATAGTAGTACATACCATGCCAGTTGCGAGTAATGCATGGGCGGTAATCCTTTAAGTGCCAGTACCACAGGCGACTCATCGTGATCTTGAATGGGCTCCGCAGGGAAGACTAGCGACTGAAGCCGGGCATCGTCACTTGGATAGTACATCCCTTCCTCCGGCCTGATCCCCTTAAGGTGTAGCGCCTTCATGCTGAACCCTCTCGAAACCGTGTAGCAGTCTCGCACCTGTGCTGCTGTCGAAGAGAAATTGAGCGCAAACGTGGTTCGGTGGTACGAGCCGGCTTTCCACGGCAACCCCCATGCGTCCCTCCAGAACTCGTTGTTATAAGAAAGGTTCGTGAAAGTTGCCCAGTGCAGTCCAGCGATCACCGTGCCGCCAGTGCGGGCGTACTCTGCAAGGCTTTGCGCAGTGCGCCTGTGTTTGGGCTGCGCCAGTCCTCCGTCTGTTAGAAGAACTGCTGCGTATTTCCGTGCAGCAAGAGCCGACTCCGTGGCGGAGCTTGTCTCGACACTGGAGACATTCGCTTTGGTTCGGAGCTTCTTGAAGAGGGTCTTGTACATGCTGTCAAGGAATTCCTCCTTGTCGAGTGACACCAGCAAGATACTAGGCGGCCGCGTTATGACATATGCTCTTATGCGAAGGCCAGGCCTTTGGGGTATCAGCATCTCTCGCATCTAGAAGAACTATACGATCCGGGCACCTGTGTCTGGTGTTCAGCACTACAGTCTGAGTAAGTCGCAGTCAGTACGACTTCGCACGCACCATGTCAATGAGAGCACTCACAGAAAACGTCCTTACATCGGCTGCATCGTTTCTCTGCGTTTTGACCGCACACCGCGCATTTGGCGGGTCCAGGACTATTGGCCATACCCGATGCATCCGTGTTTTGGCTCATGGTGGTCGTGATACTCAAGAAAGGAACAGCTGGTCAGGTTTCGGAACGTAATGTATACTCCTCCCTGTTCGAAACTACATTGTCTCACATCACCCACGTGATGCAGGGATTATCGACTGGCATGGCTTCTGTGAATCTCCTTGCAATCAGTATTATATTAGGCAAACGTTGCGGATGTCTGGCATACTACGCAAACGTACGTACTTACGACCTTGCAGCATTTCAGCCTAGAATTCGGAAGACAACACGGATCGCACCAGGGCATCAGAAGGCCACTCCCCTTTGCTGGCGATGACTATACGTTCTTGAGCCAAAGTAGCAAGGAAGACATTCAAATCTGCGACGCTGTGCGTGACGGTATATCACTAAGCTCAGATACGATTCCGGCTCCAAAATACGCTGCAGTTGGCTTCAGCGCCTGGATCATGCGGTCGATAGACTAAAATCCCTCACAAATAGGTTTATGATAGCCGCTCAATCCACTCCCGTAACGGCGTGAGACCATCTGGTAGCGCCTTCTCATCCACAACTTCGTTTCGCTTCCCGACCGTGACTGACGTCCCAACAAAGTCGACTTCTCCCCCCTCCCACTCAGCAAACCTGAATGTCCCGCCAGGTCCGCTACACTCCAGTCCACCCATCTCACTCATATCCTCGCCCTCTTCACCGAGTCCCTCAACACCGACTCCCGATTGGGAGATTCTTCTCTTTTCGAGCTCCCGCTCGAGGATACTTCGCACCCGATTAATGGCCAGCTGATCAGCGGGTCCGCCACCAGAGACAGACTTGAGTAGGTCGGTCTTGTGACAACAAACTACCAAAGCCGGCGTGTGTTGCGATGGGGGCAGCGACGTGACGGCATGAAGAACCCGGTGGAGATGCCTGGTACAAAGGTTTGATCCATGAAGGAACTAACACCCATCGCGGAGGGACTTACTCGGCTACAGCTGGCCCATTTCTGGAGACAGTACTCGAGTCCACGACAAATACGATGGCTTTCGCTTGAGGCAGATGCTCCTTGAACTGATCCCGTATACGAGGATGACCTGGAACGTCGATAACCTCCAGAGGCTTCTGGGTACTTGAGAGAGCAACTAGAGACGTATTTGTCTGGAGCGACGTGTGGGTCGGGAGCGTTTGATTGTATACAAGCTAGCGATACGTGAAGATGAGATATCAGATATCATACGGCGCCACCAAGCTACTCACCGTTGACAGGATGGCGGTCTTGCCTGAATCACAAGGTCCCACAAGAAGCACCGCATTCCCTGTGGATGTGGCTTTTCTTCTAATAAAGAGCACAAAGACTACGAAGACGTGAGATTGAAGCTATTCGATCAACGTCGGTATGCGACGAACCAGCCAGAAGTGCAACAGCCAGAGACAAGGACGCGATCGCCAGAGTCTGGGTGGATATCGGGTGTAGCAGCGGGGCCACTTCTGGCTTGACAAACTGCTGCGCGTCATCAGCGACGGGGGGAGGCGAGGAAGGATCCATGGTGCAAGTCTGAGCTGGATGGGCCAGGTTCTCTGTTGACTGGAACCACGTGGCTGCACTGCATTCGGCTTGAAGCCCCACTCCTCCCGGGTGAGCGATAGCCAATCAGAAGAAGCTCAGAGAGTCCTTCGATGAAACCGCGCGGGCGTTACTCAGTGCACCTCCGAGCGCACTCTTCCAAGATTCGTTATGCACCAGCCCAAATGCTTGTCATTCCGGTTCTAATAATGCAGCAAATATACAATTGATCACAGTTGCAACCCTCGAACGAGAATAGCCAATAAATAGGAAAATAAATATTTGCGTGATTCTGGTCGTAGGATGGGAATAATATCATCACGAGCTCTTAGTTGCAGGTGCACGTTGCCACGTCAGGAGTCTGACCGAATGGGCATGTGCCAGCTGCGGGAGGCGGAAATCAGCTCAGGGAACAGCAACCCGGAAGAGTATTCCTCACCGGCACCGAAGGCAAAGACACCAAGAGCAGGAGAGCCGAACAAGCCGGGATTGACACCGTCCAGCTGGGCGTTGACAACTCCCTGAAGTTCAGGGTTCCTTGGAGCACGAGTGCAGAAAGGCGTCGAAGGCACAACGCCGTTAATGTTCAGAGCATTCCTCGGGTGCTTGCGGAACGCAATCGCGTTGGCAATCAGAGCGTCCTGGTTCGTGACGCCAGCAGACTTGGCGAAATCAATCATAGCATCGGCGTTGTCCTGTTGCGCGCAGGGGTCTGAGTTGGCAAGCAGAGCATTGATCCCATTCACGCCGGCTAAGGTGACACAAGGGCTGTTCGTGGTGATGTCGCCCCCACTCTTCAGGCACAAGTCTTGCCAACTCTGTGCAACTGCTGGGAGGTCGGACTGTGCGATGCGGCGCACCAACTCCATATCCGTAGAACGCTTAGCCTTCGCTGCACATGCAGGCGGGGCCGTGGCTTGACGTCTGAGGGCAGAGCGATGTTATGGTCTGCACCACAAATGAAGCAGCTGGACCACTTACGCTTCAAGGGAACGTCCCGTCAGTCCTCCGGATGCACCAGTAGCGGCGATCCGCGTTACAGCATCGGCGGTCGTATCGCAAGTGATGCTGAGAATCATCAAAGATGAACAACGAATTCGGGATAGAGGAGCGGGTCAATGCGTACCTGGTTCCGGCGGAGTTAACCAACGGAAGCGCTACGCATTGCAGGCCACCCGCACAAGGGAACGTGACGAAATTGCCGTTCGCACATTGAGCGAACTGACCGTTCACGCAGGCATTTTCACCGGGAGTGCATGAGGAGTCGGGGGCCAAAGTTGCGAATTTCGCATTGAGAGCCTGGGCAGCCTGTCCGTTGGCCAAGGTAAATGCCGCACGCTTCTCAATTGACGACTCTGGTAACGATCTGCCGGTCAAACCACCAGTGGCCCCGGTGGCAGCGATTCGTGCAGCAGCGTCGGCGGCGGTATCGCACGTTACACTATGTCTATCGGTTAGTTCCATGGACGCTGGGATAATGTGCATATACTGACCTTGTACCAGGGGAGTTCACGAGGGGAAGCGCAACACATTGCAGTCCGCCGGCACATCCAGTAATGGCGAACTTGCCTCCAGCGCACTGAGCAAATTGCCCATTTATGCAGGCATTCTGCCCATCTGTACAGGGGGAGTCCGGCGTAAGAGTGGCGAAATGAGCGTTCAAATTCTGAGCAGCCTGTCCATTAGCCAGTGTGAAAGCTGCTCTGCGGTCGACAGGGCCTGCCGAAGCAAGGAGAGCGGCGGAAAGGGGAAGAAGCACGACGGAGAAAGCACGCATTATTGTGAAGTTGGCTATTAAAATTCGTAGAAGTTGAGACGCGACCAGGCGTGAGTCGTCCAGAATGACAAGCGTTGGGAAGGCGAGAGCAACCGGGCTCGGAGAAGGCAAGGTGAGGATGAACCTGGTAGACCTTGCCTTCTGGTAGCCACATTTTATACATTTGGCGGTATACCTGGATGGTTAGATGTCCAGCTTTTACGGGCGGCATCAATCCGACTGCTGGGATTTATCAAAGGGATAGATCAAAACTTGGTAGAGCATACGACCCCATAGACGCCACACAGCCCACATCAGGAGGGGCATCTGACTGTGACATCAAGGCGGCTATGGGGCACGTGATCGCGGCGTACAGTAGCTCCAACGATTTGAGTCTTCCGGTATTCGGGACCCTATCGCGTATGGATTCGAAGTGCCCAACTCACCATTCGCAGCTTGCAGAAAACGCATCCATGGCGGTAGGCTGATACCGAAGGAAGAAAGCAAGAGTGCCTCTGTCCTTGGGCTCAACCGTCTCCATCATCTCCGGCGTGCCCGGATCCGTGCCTGTCCTGATGCGTGATTCCTGTCTCAATTACCTGTCAGCGGGATGACCGGACTTGAGTCGTAGAATTGCCAGCACTAGCCAGTGTCGGAAATTCGGAAACTGCCTTCCAAGGGACCGGCGTTACCACGGCCTTGCCAGCCAATGGCAACGACCTTCCCACGCATGTCCCTATATGGCAAGCGAGGGACATGGCTCAGATGGCTATCGTTGCATGGCAAGGCACCCATGGCCGGTACTTTCACTATAGGCACCAGTTTTCTCGCTTTCTTCATCGTTTCTGTCTTGCTCTTTGTCTCCTTGATATTGTATATTACTTATATTACTTATATATTTGTTCCTATGCAGACATGGAACATGGGGAGTGGAAAGTCCTCGACCACTATTACAATATATTATACTAAGTATCAAGCTTAGTATCAGCTCTGGCGGAGTGGTTATTGCGTCTGTTTACTACATAGGTACTATTTCATCCAGTATTTGAAAGGGTCCAGGTTCGAATCCTTATGTGCACACTTCTGAAAACAGCATTCCATTTTTGGTTATGCCATACACGACAGGTCCTCAGACTAGCCGCTGATATCCCCGTGCTGCCGCCCGGCAAGACCGTGGCAATGCCGTTGTAAGATCCATGGCAAGGTCCATGGTAAGGTTTACTGATGTTTCGTAAGGCGGTCCGCCCTTGCCGCATTGGGAAGCCTTGCAAGGCCTCGTAAGGCGATTTGGAAATTTCCGACAAGTGCTAGGGTCCATGGCCTCCGGCCACCGATACCACCTTACCTGTAAATCGGGAGAAATTACAACTCCGGCGAAATTGGGCGAGCTGTCCGCAGTGAAACACAGCCCACAGGAATACATACTTACGGCTCGACAGAGCGTCCTATCAGCGATGCAACACTGTAAAGATGCAGACTGCATAGCGCAGGAAAAACGAGCATACGCTCTTCCTATACCGATGGGTTTGACATTTGACTCATAAACCGAGTCGGGTATGCCGTGATTTAGCGAGTGCTGTCAGTGTCCGGGGGGGCTTGGGTGCGACGTCTGATTGTGACTGTTCACAAGGTAGAGAATGGAAATGTAGTTACAACGTGTCCCTGATGAACCCTAAGGTGCCTAGTGACGACGCAATCAGTTCCATGATTCTGTCGCTCTCCCGGCGCTGCGCGTCCAGCAGCAGTTGGAGGTCATCGCGAACCTCCGCATTGGCGATGAGTATGTCGCCATGCATGCGGAGGAAAACCGCTAGCATAGTTTCCACGGCCTCGAAGTCCCGTCGCGACCGCAAGCGCTGCGTCATTGCTCTGAGGAATAATTGCACAGAATCTAATGCCACAAGTGAACGTAGTTCGAGGTCCAAGGCAGCGGGTGATAGGGATTTCGCATAATTGAAGAATGCCTCGACTTCACACATGTGATGAGAAGATCTGCTCATAGGTAATGAGATATCGACTCACAATCGCCGTCCACAGACTCTGCTTCAAGCCTTTTCTGGAATGTACTGTCTGACTCGGCTGCAGCCTTCTGAAGCCGTTTGGTATCTTGCTTAGCTTTTTCTTCCTTAGCTTTCTGCTCGACAGCAAACCTCGGTTCCAGGCCTGGCAACGTCGGTAGAAAGAACGGTGCCTTTTCAGGCTGCTTCGGTGGTTCCTTGGGTTTGTTGCGTTGCTGTGGAGCAGGGCCAAGGTCAGTCTGACGCAGTTAACACGTGGCAATGTGATGCCATACTTGGATAACTTCCAGGTTGAGCAGCGTCTGCCAACGGGACCTTGGAAGTAGTGTGAGTGTCACCAAGTCACCCTCTAGTTGAGGAGCGGCAACAAAGGCGTCCTTCGGGGTGTCATGCAAAGCAGAGAGCGCCAAGCCTTCCACAGCTAGGGCAGGTATAACTTTAGACAGGTCTGAAGCTGGGGTATTAATATGTAATTCGCTGACCTTCCTCCTCTTCGTCCATGCCATGCATTGACGGCAGACCGACCTCAGTCAGATCTTCGTCATCAATGCTCTGGAACGATACTTCGGCGTATTGGGCGCGATTAGCCCTGCAGAGGTTGAAAGCGTCTTTCAAACGAATACACTATGATCCACTGAGCGAACATACCATAGGTAGACTCCTACACTGTCAACATGCGCTGTGGCTAAAAAATCGCCCGTAGGGGAGAATGATATGCTGGTGGCGGCACTTGACGTGCGAAATGCATCAATCAAATGACCAGTAGGTAGATCAAATGTTCGGACCACGCGGTCCAAAGATGAGACAATAAGCCAGCGACTGTCTGGGGAAAATGCCTGTGGCATAGCATGATTCAGTCATCTTCGTTAGATACAATGGGTGGACCTACGATATCAAGCACGCGACCTTTGAAACCACCTAGCTCCCGTACAATTCGTCGTGTCTCTATGTCGACAATGCGAACGACAAGGTCGTCAGATACAATTGCCAATAGTCCCGTGTCACGCTGTAGCGTGATTGTCACGGCGGAAGACGGCAGAACAAGACTATGTTCTAGTTTTGTAGTGTGGAAGTCGAAGAACTGCATCCAATGTCAACTACGACGTTGCTGCATCCTACAGCAGGTGCTCACATTTATCGTGCCGTCCAGAGTGCTAACTATGACGACCCGATTCAGGGCATCAGTTGCTATCCCAGTGACGCATCGTCCTTCTTTCTTGGAGGATGCCCGGAAGCGACTCGTCACCTGCGGAGGGCAAGGACCAAGGTCATAGTTCTTCCTTCTCATCCCGGATTGCATGTTCCAAGTGTAGATAGCACCCGTCGAGGTCCCAGCTACGCCGAAATTGCCGCATGCTGTCACACAAACCGCCTAAACTGATTTTAGATTCGCAATCGGAAAGGCATTTCTATATGCTTACTAACCTTCACAGAACCAACTCGAGCCTTTCCCTTTGCGGACTCGGTGAAGGTGAATGTATGTTTACCTAATCTCTTGTTCAAGGTCGACCAAGTTCTAGCACAACTCTCGTCGGTATGTGCGGTCAACACGTCGTCCCAATCCTTAGATCTTGTAGTGGAGTACGAGAGTGCAACGATTGGGGGAAACTTGAGCGAAGTCAAAGGGATCGATAATGTAGACGCCTTCTTCGCAAGAGAACCTACAAGCTATTGGATCAGTCTCATTCAAATACCCTTGGTATATGCCGTACCCTGTGACATCTCGAACGATCTCGAGTCTCGCACGATGGATGTACACCTGAGACTCCTGTCTCGGGACGCTGAAAGGAGCTGCTTGCCGTCCTCGCCGTAATATCTAATTAGATGTGGAGGAGCGTGATGACCTGAGCGGTATTTCAACAGTCGCGGAGGTGCAGTGGGGGAATCAAATAGCCAGTACTAATTAAACACGTGAATACTTGGACAACGACAAGAACGTGAACAACTGACTTTGACGCTGTTGTCTTCTCCGGAACTGATCATGACCGGCTGGCCGGGGACCCATTCAACAGCAACAACAGGTCCATCATGCGCTCCGCGGACGATATGCAAGAGCTGCCCTCCGGCATTCAAATCCCACAGGGCGATGTGTCCAATTGACGACGCTGTTGCTAGGATGGGATGCCCATCTAATCCACATGAAGGCAATTAGCGTAGCCGAAGGAATGTCAGTGGGAGGCTCACCGCTTCGGAATCCAAGGGCTCTGATATTTCCACCTTCCATAAACATTCTCATTAAGCGCTCGTCAGCACGCACGTCGTAAACCGATATCTCGCCCGTAGCGAAGCCGATGCCAACTACATCGATAGCCGGAGACTGAGTCAGGGCCGTTATTGCATACGATGAACCATCAGCAGCGGCAGCCGAAGGGGAAACAAGGAGGGACGATGAAGAATATTTGTGAATACAGGCCCTGAGAGCATAGTGATATTAGAGGAAGCTCTCTTGGAGCTGGTGCAGTCACTGACTGGGTACGAATATTCCATAGTTGAAGACTACCCTCCATACTCCCAACCAGTACTTTATTGATGTAGGTAGCCGGGTGTAAGAGCGACGTTGCGGTAAAACCGGGTTCAAATTCAACGGTAGAATCCAGGCCTATACGCGTCCAAAGCAGTATTGAGCCATACTCCCACATTTTGTGGTCCAGATGCACTCACTTCCACTCTCCTTATCCCATACAAGCAGTCTTTTTCCGTCTTGGGTCAAGGCCATAAGCTGCGACCCAAATATTGCCAGGGAAGATAGATGTGAGCCCAGGGGATTCTCGAGTCGGATGATCTATAGTCAAAGAACACCGTGAAAGGTCGTACACGAATGCCATGCGAGGGGTCCCTCACCTCCTTCCCTCGCAGGTACTTGATCACCAATGGGCCAGAAGCTGCCCATACGACATCCCCATCCATTGATAAACTGGATATTGCGTGCGGTGCCTCAGGTCCTATGTTCAGAGCAGACAGCCTTCAGAACTTGCGATGCAGGGACCAAAGATCACTCACTCACCGACAAACAGCAATCCCATCTTCCCGCCTTCCCAGAGTGCCCATGACCTTCCGAGGCATGTCAGAATGTGTGTCCTGGGGCCCTCAGTCGCGCCTTTGAAAGAACGAGTTTGCAAGACGAATGGAACATGATTTGTTACAAGGCCGAGCGCCCTGAATGGCGCGAAAAGACGGAGGGTTTGGGATCTCTTCTCCTCAGAGGATACCCCATAGACGTGAGAGCGCCGTCGTTTTCGTGGAGGCACAGCTATCCGTTCGCTGTCTGGCACAGCGGTCATCGTAGTCCACCTTGTTTTCGGTGGCGTCTGAGGCCTAACTTCAGAAGATCTACAGATAATTTCTCATTACGTAAGGCATTGTGTCAGGTATTTTAAATTCTGTGGCGTGTCGCGACGCGTCCTCAGGCCTCAGATCTCATCCATAATAGCCACACTTCATCCGGTTCAGTCGCGTTGGCCCTTTGTCTGCCTCTTTCCACCGACGCAACTGGGCTCCTTTCTTAGTGTAAGTTGCTATACCTTTTTGGTTGCTGAACTGTACTCAGGAAATCAGGACGAAAAGAAAGGATTTACATATGTTGCAAGATATGTCGCTAACTCGTGTGTTGCATATCTTGGCCGGTTCCAACGTCTTGGGCAGCGCCACCACATCTTACTCCTCTTTACGCATGGTGCCTGTTCAGGTGAAATGCAACAGAAGTACTACTGTATCGACCCTTTCTCCCAAATTACCCCCGGAAATATGGTTAATCATTCTACGGCTGGCTACCTGGATCCCTGGCGCAACTGACGTGATGGACCATGATTCTCTCATTGCCTACTCCAGGGATGAGCACGGGATAAATTTCTTTGCTCGTTATCGGCACGCTATGGCCACGAAGCTCTCTCTCAGTCTCGTTTCTAAGTCTTGGCATACCTTCATCGCGGAATTTCTGTACGAACATGTCGTGATCAGGAATGGCGAACAAGCAACTCAATTCAAGGATGCAATCGGTCGTGGCAAGCCTCACTCAACTCACCGGGGCTGCGGTTTTTGGACTTCCCGGATTGATCTCGCGCTAGAGGACGTACACCTGTGGGAAGATGACCATACCAACTCTTTGTGTTCCCTTCTGCAGGACTGCCCCAATCTCGTAACTTTCTCTACGGCTCATTGTGTTGCTGAGGCATACCTCTTCTACCCGGACACTTTCATGAAGGCCCTTGTACCACTGGCAAACCTCAAGAAACTGAAGAGGCTGGAACTACGGGGTGAAATACCCTTTCTGACAAGTATTGTCTCACAAGTCTCCGATGTAGAGGTTCTTTGGCTTCTTCCCCCGCTCAAGATGCTTCGTGAGAGCAAGGCTTCGTCCCTTTATCTGCCGAGACTCCGGACCTTGATAACGGACTTTCGTAACTCAAAGTTTACGCTGGACTGGGGCCTACCATCTCTCCAATACTACTCCACCACAGACATCGTACATCTAACTCAACACCTCAGCGCATGGGGAACTAGCCTTCAGTATCTGTCAGTGCCTAGAGTGGCGCTAATCGTGCCGGCTCTGTCGCTCTGCCCAAACCTGACGGAACTCAGCCTCAACTTTGAAGGAGTTATATTCGTGCCATTCGATCGAGCGCCCACCCAACACCATCTCAAGCGCATCACAATTGAGGGTTGTCCGGACTTTTCGCGCCCCGTATCGTGGTATAATCAGGCCAATTCTCTGTCGATCGACTACCTCCGTATCAGTTTGCTCACTCTGGCAAGTGAGACGACATTCCCGGTTCTCGAGCGCATCCGCTTAGTACTCCCTTTCAATTGGGCGCCGTATGAAGATGAACCCCCTGCTTGTTTCGTGTCTGTCTGGGATTTCTGGCTGGAGGCTTGTTCATGGCGAGGCATCCAAGTGGAAGCGTCTGTGGGTGCTTCAGATCACACTGCGAATATTTGGCGACCGTTCAGCTCCGACTTGCTCTTGCGCACGGTCTAATGTTGGGCTGTTTCCTGGCCGTAAATATATCTGTTCCTGTGCCACACGTGTAGATCAGCGATATTCGATTCCTGTAGAGTATAATATGCATGTCAGAGTCTTTGCAGCCAGTCATCCAGAGTTGCGGGATGCGATCCACAGAGGTTTGCCTTATTTGGGCACCGAGCCATCGTCTTTGCTATTGCGCCCCCGCGTAAACACGACCAAATATTACCTTTTCGAGAAGAATATCATGTGACCTCCGACCCCTCCGGCCGCGTCACTAAAAATAACTGGACCCAGCCGTATTAAGTAAACGGCTATTATATTGCCATCATATTATTTTAATGCATGAGATCTGCATTGGCTCTTTAGTGAAGCGGTTACGCGGCCTGTCTTGAGTGCTGGACGTCTGAAGTTCAAATCCTACCGTTGCAGAATCCTTCGATTTGTGCTTTTAGGGTTAGGGTTTATTAATTTTCCTTACTGTTAGCTTTTATATTATCCTTGTCAGCCACATGTATCACAGCTATATAGATTTCAATGAAAATCTATTTTGCCCGGTCTATATGACCCTCTTAGTCCAGACTTGAAGACACTCTTACTGGCCGGACACGCGCGCGGCAGGAAGCCCGCGTTTGCCGGCATCACGTGACATTCTTCTCAATATGGTATATTTGTACATGTTTGCACGGGGGCGCAGTAAAGCTACCTCCGAGCCATGACATACCAGGAAAGGAAGGAGCAATATTTCGAGCCTTGCTCTCCAAGGTCGATCAGGGTCAGTGTCACCTCTACTGCTACGTGCCTTGCTTGCTAGAGAGATGGACCCCGACGCGCCAGTGACAGTCGCACTTGGTACTTTAGCAACATGCACGTTCGTCTTTCTTTGGCTGAATACATATTTGTTGAACTTCGTGCTCATGTTCGTCTCCACTTCAGCGGCAACGGCTGCGACGTTCACGGGTTTATATGGAGCCTTCAGCAGGCGCATCGCTCATCCTGGATTGCTTGCTGGGTCAGCTGCTCTCAATAGCGGCCTAGCAGCAGCTGTATTTTTCAGTACGCTATGTGCTTGACAAGCTGTGTATGAACTGCAGCTAATCACGAAACAGGTGCAAGGGAGTATGTGATCAGCCCGCTCCTGCTGTCTACTATGACTGGCAAGCAGTGCGATCGCCGGAGACGCGAACTCGAGACGCGTCGTCTATCCAAGTCTACCGGTGAACCTGTTCCATCTGGGCGGGAGCAGCTGTCCTGGTCAGATATGAGATCGCACAAGATGCTAGATACCACCTTGAGCGGAGCATTCACAGGAGGAATTCTCAATGCATGGAAACGTGTGTCCTTCCATGTACACTCACGCACCTTCTTATGGTCTAATAAGCCTCGTTGCCATAGGCGGTCGGGCAGGGGTCCTTCCGGGCATAACCACGGGAACTATATTATGCGGACTACTACAGCTCGGTTACAATGAGTTCTTCGTTCAACGACTCAAGTACATCTCGCGGCGCCTCAGAGAATCCGAAACGACCGGGAGCCAACCGCCCGTGCAGGCTCCAAGACCGACAGAGACATTGCTGCCGCGGGACGACCCGGGACCGTCAGAGCCTCGACAGTCTTTCAGTGAACGCATCTTGGGGCTCTTTGGCTTCAGTAAGATACCCGATGACGTGTTCTTGGAAAGATTGCGTCAAGAGAGGGACGCCTACCTCAGGCGGATACGCAGGCTGGAAGCACAGATTGAAGAAGACAAAAGACAAAAGCCGAGCGAGGCTTGATCAGATGGCTAGGGCGTGGTATTGCGATTTACTGTCGTACTTTAAGGATTTTGTATAATCAAGTTACAGCTAGAGCTGCGTATTTAGTAGTCCAGACATGGAATAAACCCTTCCCATCTTTGTCGAAGCCGCCCACGACTGTGTGATTTTGATCAACCGACATGGTATTGGCCTTGAAGAGACCTTTAGACTCTCTTTCCCACTGACGAGTGGCGACAAGACGCTCCTCTTGTCTTGTCAGAGAGTACATCACAAGAGTGCCCAACAGGGTGCACGTCATAAGTGAACATGGATCAACGAAGGTCCTGAAGAGTCACTTCAGCGAGATGCGCAAGAGAAGGACGTCCAGTCAGCTCACACTGCGACGACCGGTCCCTCCGTCACGTTAATCCAGAGACCCTCATCCTCTTTCAGGCCTTCCCATTTCCTACTCCTTTTCTTCTTCCCTGCAGATGGCGTTTTCTCACCGCCTGCGCCTATCCATACCCGTCCGTCTGCCGTTCCGACAGCAACGAGACCATTTGTGGAGAGCGAGATTGACAATATGAACGGGGGCGACAACGACACACCAGATGACGGCGGAGTAGCGGCTTCGGAAGATATCAGATTCAGGCCGGCAGGTGAGATGCCTCTGAGAAGTCACTTACCGATGTCGAATCTTGAGAGGAGAGATCTTTGAACGAAATCGTGGTGGAGGACGGCAGAGTCGTAGCCTCCACTTATGAGTTCGTTCGGACGGTCGGGGATGAAGGAGACACTTCCGCATATCTAGTTTCAACGTAAATGAGTGAACTTGTGGAACTTATGATAGACGTCCAGGCACCACCCACGTTCTCGTGCCGGACTTTCATTCTAGACACTCGCTGCGTGGAGAGATCCACGACGCCAACCGTCCCAGCGTCTGTGCCGAAGGCGAGATACGCGCCGTTACGACTCAAAGCCAGCTAGCTGAACCATGTCAGTCAGGGGTGCATCTCACCTCTGGTAAGACTAGCGAGCCGTACCTCGTTTACTAGGTCGTCCTCGTCCTCGCCCAACTGAAGTTGTGCCTGGGCGTCGTCGAGTGATAGTATCATCTTGGGATCATCGAGTCTGAAGCAAGCAATCTATCTCATGTCAGACCAGCACCAAGGTAGACGGGAGTAATGAGCAGACTCACGCTGGTCCCACTTGCTACCCAGGCAACCTCGGAGTTGAAACCTTTGGATTTAAGACAGCGTACAGAGGATACTTCATCCTTCATGCCTCTGATAGCTTTGCATACTCGGCCATTGGACAGGTCGTATATTCTAAGACTACCATCCCCTTCATGATCTTAGTGGGGCAGGGATAACCCAAGAACTCCTCTTACCTGACCCAACTAGCAGAGAGGAGGGTGAAAGCTGGGAGACACAAGAAACCGGTCTGGGTATCGCCAGGTTCAGGATCGGCTCTGGAGTGGCGGCAGCAGGGGCTTGCTCTGAAGTAATCTCCATGCAGACAGATATCTCTCGAAGAAGTGACGCGCGCCTGTAGCGCGTCTCTTATCGTCCCCAATGACGCGGTACAGATCGAGCCCCGTGTTTCGTGCAAGTCACGCTAACCCAGGTTGTTCCCGTTGTCGACCGAACGATAAATACTACGCGCCCTGCGAAGGGCCCTGCTCAGGCTCGCACAACTTCAGGTTCATCGAAGTCGACAAGCTCATTGAGCGCAATGCCCGGATCGATCGCTACCAAGCACGCGCCACAGAATCTGGAGGAGCTGCGAAAGCTTCTTGCCGTGGACAGTAAAGTAAAGGTCGCAGGTATGTTGCAGAACGCGGGCTAGGTAAACCAATTTTTATTGATTGTGGCCTGGATTTAAGGAATCGATGGTACGGGACTTTAGCCTTCACAAGCAAGTGGGACTGACTTTGTCCTCCAGTCGATGGCGTGCTACGAGGCAAATTCATGGTACGCATGCCTCTAGACTGTCGCTGACGGCGCGTGCTCATCTTGGGAGCAGTCCAAGGAGAAGTTTCTCTCAGCAGCTTCTTCAGACGGCTTCGGTTTCTGCAGCGTAACCTTGTCCGTAAGTTCCTATGTGTATTGTGTTCGTCTAATGATGTTCCGCGACCCACTAGTGGATGGGATATGCATGACCAAGTGTACTCTCCAGAGTTGCTTATTTCCAATAGAGCAAACGGATACAGAGATCTGTTAGCCTCCATTGACCTCAATACTTATCGCCGAATCCCATGGGAGGACAACGTGCCTTTCTTCCTTGTCTCATTCCTGGACCCGGATACCAAGGAACCTATACCTGTTTGTCCACGGAGCACCATCAAGAAGGTCACCGACAAAGCTGCCAGCATGGGCTGGATGTGCATGGCTGGGGCTGAATATGAGGTAAAGTGAAGCACGCACGCGACAATATTGGGTGCTGATGGTGTCTGTCCATAGTATTATAACTTCAAAGGTACGGTCTTCGAACAATGGTTGGCTCAACCTAATCTAAGATCAGAGACTCCCGACTCTCTTGCCGAGAAGAGATTCCATGGCCTGCAACCGTTAACGCCCGGCAGTAAGTCCATATTACCGTTACGCCAAGAGTATAGATGCTAATTTGTCTCAGTGCACGGATACTCACTGTTGCGTCCTCAGTTGAACATGCAATACTTTGATGATATCTTCGAGGAGAGTTTGGCTTTTGGGATTGACATTGAGGGTCATCGTACGTCCGATGCTCGCTACAATGAGAGAGGTGATTTAGATACCAGAATCAGATACGGAAACTGGTCCCGGAGTCCTCGAGACTGCACTCGCATACGGTCCAGCTCTGAGAATGGCCGACAATGCCATCCTCTTCAAGTACCTGGTTAAGAGTATCGGTATGAAGAGAGGCGTCATGCCCAGCTTCATGGCCAAGCCCTGGGGTAATGTAGGTATGCACGCACTCTGCTCGTATTTAACTCATTTGCAGCTTTCCGTTCTAGCTCCCGGGATGTAGCGGGTACGTTTCACGCATCTCTTGCGCGTCCTTGTAGATGCGTCCTGATGGTGAAACCTCAGCCACATACATGTGTCCCTTCGGACTGAGGATGGCAGCAACGCGTTCGCAGTGTCAGATGAAGAGCTCAAAACAGGAAGAGCAGGCGCTGCCTACGAGGACACGAAATTCATCAGTCAGACGGCCGAATGGTTCCTTGCTGGAATACTGGACGGAATATCCGATGGTACGCCTGAAATCCTTGAGCTGTCAACTCATGCAGTGCACTGACCCTGCTATGTGCAGTCATGCCCATGGTCAGTGTACCAGTTGCCAAAATGGCTGGCGACAGCTCTGACCTCTTTCAACATTATAGTTAGTTCCTAATATAAACAGCTACAAGCGACTTTCTGGAGGAGAAGCCTTCTGGGCACCGAACGCCGTGACTTACGGCTACGACTCCCGAGGAGCGTCTATCCGTATCATCTCCCCTCCAGGAGTACCGCCAGCTGCAACTCGGTTCGAAGTCCGTGTGCCCGGCGCGGACATGAATCCTTACTTCGCGCTGAGCGCGATCTTCTCACTTGGTTTGAGGGGGATCGAGAAGAAATTGAGTCTGCCATGTCCTCCCATCGGCCACATGAAGCCGGAGGATAAGGCTACAGGCAAGGTAGGATCGCTCGCAGTCCTAACCTGTGTAACGATGCTGAACCTAGAATAGGTCAAAATGCTGCCGTTGTCGCTAGAATCCTCTACCGAGAGGATGATGCGAACCGAGAGCATCGCGCGGGAAGAAGCGGTCTTCGGGAACGACTTTGTAGAGCACTTCGGAGGAACGAGAAAGCATGAAGTGAAACTCTGGAAAGAGGCTGTAACAGACTGGGAAGGCAAGCCATTCTCCTTTCATTCTTTCATTGTCCTTGACGAATCCTACCTCTCAGTTGAACGGTATTTCGAGTTGGCATAGCCCAGAAAATAGTCTCGATGATCCCATTCTCTGTGTACAACAATATTCCGGTATAGATGGTCCCTAAGCATATCCAGTGAGAGGTATCAGTTATTCTAAGAGTACAATGGAATCTTGGCCATGTTCCCGATCCAGGGGAATCTAGCCCTGGGTAGCAGCAGGGGCGGGGATGCTGGCAGACTCTGACGAAGGAGCTGCCTCAGTTTTGCTAGGAGATCGGACACTGTGGAACCAGTGTAAGAAATGCGGGACGTCCTACAAGGACGCAAGGGAATCAGCTGACTAGCCTATGGCTAATAAGTTACACTGACGTCTGAGATTTTACCCGCCATGCTCCTGTCTGCTACGAATTGAGGAATTCGTCCACCAGGGGTACTCGAGGTGGCCATGCGCCATTCGACCTTGCCGTCCCCGAGTTCTTGAATACGCTCAACGCTGACATAGCGGCCCATTACACCTTTCTCCTGTAATTGACACAGCTCGGGATCCCCACTTAAATCCATCGGGATGGAGACGATGAGCCTGTATCCGGGATAAAGGTACGATAAGAGGGCGCGGCATGTGCTAATGAACTGAGTAATACCCTGTACGCGGTGATGACTGGTCGAGGTGCACAGTCTGCAATACCGTGAAGACGCGGGGAGAAATCGGGGGCGGAAAGTTGTAGAACATGCTCCATATAGCCTGGGTGTCCGAGATGCGCTTGACGAGGGTGACCTTCTTGATGTCTTCGATGAATCTGGCGCTCTAGTTCATGGCTTGCGTATCTATGATAGTGATGTGGACGCACTCCTTCTCATTCTGGGCTTTATCGTGGCCAAGCTTATCCCAGAACTCGTCAAAAGTGGCGTCCTCCGTAGTATGCTCGCTAACTCTGCAGTACCAGGCCGCACTATCGTTCGGCCCTTTGGGGCGGGAATAAGTCTTAACGGTGTTCTTGTGGAACGATTTGCCTTGTTTCCACGTCTTTGTCGACTCCAGTACCTCTCTGGCAGCCGCTAGGATCGTATCCTCAGGTGGAATTTCTAGAGAATACGTCAGAGGCGCGGATGCAACTTGCACAGAGCACTCACCAGACGGCTTCAACGGCGTGATATTCAGCTGAAATCCAGACATGTTGTTGTATACGCAGTAGCTGAGCGATGGGAAGCTGGGTGCAGAATTAGTGCCCTCATGGTTGCTGTCTATGTAGTTCAGATGCAGGCTATATTTAGACCAGAGGCACTTGCTTCTGAGAGGCTGAGCCGCAAATAGATCATTGGCAGGGAAAGCTCCCAACCGACCAGTGAAACAGCTTGGGAACAGCAATGCAAACTAAATATCTTGCCCAAGGCTTTGTGATTGTAACTTACCGCCAGGACGTCAACCGTGCAACTAACGAGGAGACAAAAACTCTCACGAATGAAGCAGTTCAACACACTGGTATCACCGGAGTAAGCCAGACCATGACAGCGACCTGCAGTATTCAAGCCGTCTTCTGTATTGGTGTACTCGTCGAACGAGCAGCGAGATTGACAAGCCCGAAATACCGACTGCGACCTAGAGCTGTGTCATCTCGAGGCAACCGCTCTCCCCGTTCCAGGACAACCCCAACAAATTTCCGCTCGCCCCGCATCCACTTCTCCTTGTAAAAGCGAACGTAGCCTGGGACTGTGGCATAGATGGTGTGGTCTCGCCCCATTTTTACCTAGCAGAGTAGAGCACGAGTCAAGGTCAAAACTCGATGACGAAGACTACAAAGCTCACATGCTGTCCAGGGTGAAATTGTGTGCCTCTTTGACGGACTATGATGTTGCCCGGGATGACATATTGATCTGGTGGAAGCTTCGGTCTCAGCTTACAATGAGAAGAGCCTGAAAGGTCATACCCGAGAACTTCTTCACACCGAGACGCTTTCCGGGAGAGCCACCGCCGTTACGGACGGTACCTCCAGCACGCTTGGTGGCCGTACGCACGGACCCTAGACCTGCAAAGACAGTGAGAAGAGCTACGCTTGAGGGTGCAAAGCGCTCACCAGCTGGAGAAAAGAGGCCGCTTGTTATTGACGGAAAGCGCCATAGTGATAATAAGGACATGATCACCAGCAAGCCGATGTTGTATTATACTTTTGAGACACCGCTGTGGCCGTGTTCTCCGGCGGTGGCAACACGCGCGTTTATAAAGGCGCGACTCTAGCCTCCTTATCCGGATCCGCCACACGCCTGCAAACAACTGCAACGCTCGTCTCTCCCCACAACTCCGTCGACACTCTTCATTCTACTCACGACAACGACAAGATGGTCTTATTAGTCACGTCCGATAACGAGCAATTCGTCGTCGACAAGGAGGTTGCGGAGCGCTCGGTGCTCATCAAGAACATGCTTGAAGGTGCGGAAGCCCGATATTGAGGTTCTTTGTGCATGTCTGACATTCCCTACAAGATGTGGGCGAAAGTGACCAGCCCATCCCTCTGCCGAACGTATCTTCCAGTGTCTTGAAAAAGGTAATGCGGGGTTATCAATGCCTTGAACTTGCATGTTGATCGATGTCGACTGCTGCCACTCAGGTGCTAGAATACTGCGAACACCACCGGGGCGAACCCCTTCCAGCTGCGGATGAAAACACGGAGGAGACGCGCAAGCGTAACACCGACATCAGCGAGTGGGATCAGAAGTTCATTGCCGTTGATCAAGAAATGCTCTTTGAGATCATCTTGGCCGCAAATTACTTGGACATCAAGCCACTGCTGTGAGCTCGTACACCCTGCGGCGTCTTATGTCTATTGACTGGGAATTACAGCGATGTTGGCTGCAAGACTGTCGCGAACATGATCAAGGGAAAGACACCGGAGGAGATCCGGAAGCTCTTCAATATTGTCAACGACTTCACGCCTGAGGAGGAGGTCCGTTTTCTCTCTCTCGTAGACAACGCTTTTGAAGCTGATGTATCTGAATCTGATAGGCTCAAATCAAGAAGGAGAATGTGAGTGTTATTGAGTATTTCACCCGAGCTAGTACTGACGTCGATTGAAGGAATGGGCCGAGGACCGCTGAAGGGTGGAGGTGTCAGCATGTATGCACTATAGTTCTGTCTCGTTTCGTAATGCATTCCATTCGTTCTCCTGTCTTGTTACACTGTACGTCGTATGAATGTGGTGGTACGGCTATAGAGTTTCCCAACACGCTCATGTACGAGTGCTTGATGTCAGCGAACCTCGACTCGCGTATAAATCCCCTTGTATGTCGATAGACTCAAAACCCAAGGGCATTGCGCTGTATTCCTGAGGGTATTCGTGGGCGCCTGATTCATTCAAATTGATCCTGTCTCGCGCGACTGCAGCAGCGCGCGAGAGCGCGCGTGTGGCGCTAAATATTAGCTCACTTGGACGTCGACCTGGCTGCTACTTGCTAAACTCTGTACACTTATCTCCGGGCAATAAGCTGTAGAAATTTCACCGCAATCTGACTGTGCTTGAATTTCTCGGATGCCGTCAATACCTGATCTCCCTGGGGTTCCAGTCCCTCCCAGGAGTGAGCAGGAAATGTGGCTCAAGAGACATGTGGCCTTGATTTGCCACTTGGACCATGAACGGTACGGCTGGTGGCGTACGGTTATGATTGTGGTTATATTGAACCCTTCGACAGCTTCCCTGGCAGTCAACCTGTCAGCTTTGGAAAGAAGGATATCGAGAAATTGGAAAAGCAAGAGTGAGTATTCTCGTGCGCGTGTTGCATGAGCGGAAGATTCAACCCTTCGCATATGGATAGTTACTGGGTCTGCGAGAAATCCGATGGTATTCGCGTCCTACTGCTTGTTTGCACAATAAATGTTGACCAGACCGTTTATTTGGTGTGTGGCGTCTACTTTGACATCCTCGTGCACATCTGACTCTCCTGCAGATTGACCGGCACAATACGTATCGTGCAGTGTCTGGTCTATTTTTCCCGCATCATGAGGATCCAAGAATGCCGTTGCGAAACACTCTCGTGGATGGCGAACTTGTCCTGGATGAGGATCCACGGACGCATCAGGTAACTGTCGTCTGTCAGTCGACATTGCTAGCGTTCGTTGCTCATGAGTTTGCTGTGTAGAGGACTTTGAGATATCTCGCCTTTGATTGCTTAGTAGTCGACAATCAGAACGTAATGTCGCGTCCCCTGGACAAGCGATACGGAGTACGTGGCTATGAGTGTTTTACCAAGATATCATCTGAACGTCCTCTGAAAGAGACTCAAAGAATGGTTCTATAAACCACACATGAAAATGCTACGTGAATTTCCGAATATGGCGCAGGAACAACCTTTCGAGTGAGCACCCGCTTGTGCCTGATTCATTCCATAGAGCGGAAGATATCTAATGGGGTTTGACAGAGTCAAGGTCAAGGACCTCAGCTTCTCTTATGGAATCGAGAAAATATTCAATGTCGACATTCCTGCACTACATCACGGGAACGACGGCCTTATTTACACCTGCGTTAATGCTCCCTATACCCCTGGAACAGATCCAAATATGTTCGTGTTCCGGCGTCTCCAGATCTTGGATGGAAAACTGACATACTATCACGTTCAGCCTCAAATGGAAACCCCCAGAGGAGAACAGCATTGACTTTAAGCTGGTTCTACGCTTCCCTCCCAACCCTTCGAACCCTAGTCAGCCCGACTTCCATAGGAAGCCTCTTTTTGCACTGTATGTTTGGACCGGTGACAAGCAAGGCATGCCCCAATACGAGCCCTTCGATGTCATGCATGTTACAGATGAAGAATGGGAAAGGTGACTTAACTAGCGCTCACATCCATCGGCTATTTGTCTGTACCACTAACTGACGATCATGCACTTCCAGATTGAAGGCGTCCGGAGAACAGATAGACGAAAGGATTGTTGAAGTCGTGTGGAATACTCAAGAGGAACACTGGCGGATGCTACGCTTCCGCGACGATAAACCGAACGGCAACCATAAATCAGTCGTGGACAACATCATTCAGAGTATAGCTGAAGGTGTCGAAAAGGAGACGGTGCGATTTACATCCGCTAATTCGGGATTCCATTTCATTTACCGGTCTGAAATAGCTCCTAGCTCGCTGCACGGATATCCGCAACGCATGGAAAGCTCGCCTAGGGCAGCCCGCAAAGCCTCCCCAGCAGTTGCCACCACCTCAAGCCCCGCCTCAAGCATCTCAACCACCTCGTCCGCTTCCTCCCCCGCAGAAAGTCGAACTGCGCTATGGCCCCCTAGCGACGTCCCGCTGGAGCAAGGTAGCGGGTCCGACTGTGATCGCAGGGATGAACAGATGAACTGCGGGTAACCCTGCGCTCACTTGCAGCAAGATCACCTCCGACTCGACATTTCCTAGTCGAATATAGCACTATCACCGTTCAACATGCACCGGCGGACATCTTTCATGACACTGAAAGGGTCCAACATAATCAAGATGGCCATCAGTCAAGAAATTCTGATCCTGCGGAGGCTCGATGGCGTCGGCACTCCTCGGCGGCCCATTCGGTGGGATGTCGCGCCGCGCCGAGCACGCCCTCCCTTCACCCCTTAAGTCCGCCATCACCCGCCCTTGTATTCATCATGCTCTCGATCCGCGCTGTTAGCCAGAGTCAGTGTCGCCCCATCAATTATGGATGTGGGGACCGCTCGTCCCCAGCTTCGCCTTGCAGCATCTTCGATTCGACTGCACCACCGCACGATCGGAGGCATAGGCCTACCGCTTCAAATTTGCAGCAGCGGCCGGTGCCGCCTCGATGGTTGCCTTTAAACGTAGGAGCAAGAATGGAAGATGTAGGGATGTTCTTCTGTTACAGTCGTTTGCATATGAAACCGAAAATCGGGTTTCCGTGAGCATTGTTTGTTCGAGCCAAATATACCCATATGCGAGATGGCTTCTTGTGACTGCGTGACTGTCAGATAGCATTCATCGACGTCTCGAACTTGAAGTATCGACTGGCTGGTACCATGGTTCACCTCACTCGACAACTACGTGAACGTATCATTGTCTGGCGCCATGAGCAAAACAAGACACTCCGAGTGATTTCTGAGCTTGCGGGATGCAGCATAAGCACAGTCTTCGAAGTTCTCCGACTCTACACGGAATACGGCACAGTCATCAACCCGAATGCTAGACCTCGAGGCCGGCCGCGCACTCTGGACATGCAGGATATGAACTTCGTGCGATCAGTTATTGAGGGAGAGCCTGCTATCTACCTTGATGAGCTACGAGATCAAGTCTACAACAGACTACACAGCACATGCAGTTTGTCATAGGCTTGATCCTGCGCCTCTTAAAAAAGACTTAGTAGACGAGCAACTGTCTTTAATGGAGGCTTGTACCCGTTTAGTATCAGCGTCGCAGAAGTCCCCCCCAGGCTCTCGCGCGTGCTCAAAAAGGCAGGATTCTCCGCCCAAAACGGCAGGTGCACATGGTTGGCATCTGCCGGACCTCGGCACGTATATAGTCTCGACCTTCCTCTACCCTACACCGAGGGTTATACTGTCTATAACGTACGCGCTGAATGCGCAAGAGCGCATAGAACCTCATGTACACAATTCCTCTAAAGTGGGGGGGTCGAGGCACTAAATGTGGCCCAGTAGAAGCCTTACTGGGATCAAAAATCACGCTGAGAGAACTGTAGCTTTTCAGACTGTCTCCTACTGTCAATGGGGAGTCCCAAAGCTCAGTAGCTCCTCCTGGTACATTATCTACAGGATAAATCACAACTACTAGGTTATAGTACTGCGAGCACAACGGGGAGTCAACAGCACGAAGTTCCTTGCCGTATATTCGGCAAGGTCCACGCACGTGGTTTACCACTGCTGCGGCGCCCCAGCTACTCGTTTGGGTAGGGTTCACTTCCAAAAGCGGGCTAAGGGGGGACTTCCCTCAGGCTCCTAAACCATCCGTCCTTAGCGTTCTCGCTCCTCCTTTACTAGGGCGCACGTGCAGTGTTATGTAATACAAATCTATTTTTAATGTATTACCGGATACAGAACGAACAAGAGGAGGAGAACGCTATAGGACGGCTGGCACAAATGTCGTCGCCGAGATCCCCGAGGCTGACTAAGCGGACGGTGGCTGAAGCCTTTCAGCAG